ATTGACACTTTGGTATTTTTTAGTGCAAACCTTATTCTCCAAAATATCCAAGGCACAAAAGTCCAACGAATTTAGATCCAGAGATTTTGGTGGCTATTGTGCGATGGAAATGAAGCGAAAAACCTCTTTTTTAAGGCATTTTCGGAAGACGCGTGCTGAGTTTGATAGTGCTGAGTCCTGTTGGATTGTTCATGGTCTGCTGCCGAAATTTTTGTCTACCCAGGACATTTTCCCGATAATTTCGGCAATTATTTTGATCCCACGATCGATGAATAAGAGCGGAATGTCACCATCGGTCGTTACGGTGGTTCACACCGTTACCGTCGGCGGCGCTTGAGTTCTGTTGGCCAATCGAAGGTGTAAATGTTTAGCTGACCTTTTTGGCAAGTAAACCCTATCATTTTGTTTGTTCACAAACTGCTCGATTTGGAATCACTTTCCATCTGAGAAAACCAAATTCGGTAACTAGGCACTTTCGTGCAAGCGAAGCAATCCCTTGGCTCCTTCCCGTCTAACTTTTTTTGTGTATCGATGAGCTCTTGCACTTTTTGGAACTTCAGTGGCTTTAGGTCAAGCTCATTTTTCAATATGTGTTGCATCCGTTTTTGCGATATGTTCAGCTCACGAGCCATTTTTTTTACCACTGCGACCCGAGTTTCGATCGATTTTTGCCTACAATTTTTGGATCATTTCTGGCGTTGTTAGTGTTTTTTTTTGTCCACTTTTTGGACGCGGTGCAACACTGAGTGTATCACGGTTACGATATATGGTACGAGAAACAAAATATTTGTTTGCATTTAAATGCTGGAGGGCTCTAAAGATAGCCACTTTAGGTTTTCCAGCCAAATATGAAGCAATCGTACTATCACGCTTGACTTCCATCACGAATAACTTTTCTGAATGCAATAAATCAAAATGCTTTTCTACGCTTGTAAACAACTAAATGAACAATCACTGGAATAAATCTGTCATCTGTCTGATGAGCGGTTTAGAAATGATAGCGTTCTAAAATTCGTTGCAATACATATCAGCCACCCTGTATATATATATATATATATATATATATATATATATATATATACTAGCAAACCCGACGAGATCCGTTTCGCCACAATTTTTTGTTTGTTTTATATTTGAAAAGGAAGAATGTGATTTTATTATACAACAGTAATGAATTTCTTTCGATTACAAAAATGAAGTGTTTTTTAGTTGAAATTCTCAAAGTAAATAAAAGTGAATCCGCAAATTATCCGATTTATTGAAGTGCTCTTTGGTAAACCACATTTTTTGTTTTTTGGTCTGACGTTAACACAAACAAAGCGGATGGATTCCCAACTCGTGAACAGGCAACGTATAACTGCCCATGTAAAAAACAATGATTTTCTAAATAATCTATTTGAAATTTATCCCGCAAACACTAAGCGATTGGCCTTGTTATTGCGAACGCACGGCGAACTGGAAATTGCAATCGTTTGAAGTCAAACGGAAGACCAGTCGGAATCATTAGTATGTCACCAAATCGCCAGCAATTTTTGATTGAATGGTGAAATTCAGTGCGTGTACATCATTATTCTTTGCGGCAAGAATTGCTCGTTGACTTAACCAAGCAAAATTCTGATAATTCTCACTAATGTAATTACTCGAATTTTTAATTACGGTGCGTGAAGTTCCAGTAGCTTGCATTAAGGCACAATGCCATGCACCAGTAATTTTCTTAGCTATAAACCTTGCGGAGCCCGAGACCTTTCCAACGAATGCAAAATTGTCGAAATCGGTTCGCGCGTTCTGGAGTTATTTCGTCAGGAAGGAAAACCCAACTTATTTTTATATATATAGAAGATATATATAGTGAAAGGTTTTTTCAGATGGTGAAATATGATAAAATTGTACTTAGGCATCCATCCAATAATTAAACAAATTTTATTGAAGAAAAATGTTCTTATTGTAATATCATATGTTTCGGGTCCTGATTTGATCTATCTTCAGTACATACAAATAAATTAATGAAAGAACACAGAAAAAAACACACACGAAAAGAGATATGAACACCAGTTGATATAATATCAAGTTATATGAAAACTTTTAATAAATATTAAATTAAACAAAATAAAAATGAAATAATTTTTTTTTAAAAAAAAAAGCTTTTTAAATAAAGACATGTTATTCGTTTGGAATTTTTTTAACAAGTCATTTTGATTTTAAAAAAAAATTATTTTATTAACTTCCCGAAGGAGAAGTTTATGTTTTCACAAAAAATCCCATTCGCTAATTTTATGTTTTCTCGACGTTTCAAGTCATTCTGAATCGAATGAGTTTAAATTTGGAAAAAGTATGTGTGTGTGTGAACAGATTTTTTGCCGTAAATCGACGTTTTCTCAAAAGCGGCTGGACCAATTTCAAAAATTTAAAAGCCATTCGATGTACCTCGATGAGGACTAGCATTTATCAATTTTGCGCGACTATCAGCCAAACCATTTCTTTGTAAATATAAGAAAAGTGAAAAAAATTCCGCCCACGTTATAGCCCGCAGTTGTGAATCGATTTTGAAAATTCAAAAACCGTTCGAAAGATATTGGTTGGGAATCGTGCTGATGAGTTTTTGGTAGAGATCGGCCGGGCCGTTTTCTTGTAATAAAGTGTTAAAAAATTTTTGTTGATGATTTTTATTATTATTTTTTTGACGATAGAGACCATAGTCTTCTAGATCATACTAAAATATTACGGCCCTGCGACAACTCGTTTAGCTTTAATATATATCATGGTCTTATACAACTTATTGAAATATTAAGGCCTCACGACAAGTAGTTTAATTTTAAAAATTCATCAAAGTTTGAGAAAATGAGTAGTTTTTTGACGTTTGTTAATTAAAATTATACGATTTACTTGGTATAGCGATGAACATACTTAACCATTAGTCTTATGGAAACTGGTTCAATTATAAAAATTATGCATTATTATAATATTATAAAAATGATTTGTGAAAATTTGCTTTCAGAGAATACTCCGAGTTAACGTGTTCGTTCGTTTTCAATGATGTGTAATAAATCCACTCGGAATACTTTTAATCACTCATAAATTAATTTATTTTTTATTGATTAAGTCGATTATTTACACACATTGGAAAGTTCATGTAATACCAATATCAACTAGTTTAATTTAATGCCAGCGAGTCGTATTATTTTTTACTCGAAATTTTCCAATAATAAAATTATTAAGTATTTTACAATTTAAAAATCCTGATTCAATGCGTCAACTTCTGATGAATCTTGCTAACACACTTTAGTGCATACATTTTGTTTTAAAGGAAGGCTTCTCAAATATGACTGAATATTAAAAAGTTGTATTTGTAGTTTAACAAAAAGTCTTAAATCTTGAAAACCTGGGGCAAATTCTGTTTTTTTACTTTGGTCCTAGAAATGTATTCACGAGTCCCGGTTTCAAAGTTTAAATGAGGCAAAATCAATAAAAATTAAACGCAATAACCGAAAAATTATCATAGCTCTACGTCGCACTTAAAAGTTTATAATTTCCAAGCAACGTGTGAATGTTTTTCAACTTCCCGTAGGGCAAGTTTTAGTAATCGCAAAAAAATCGAAACTAGTGGGGCGCATGACATCGTGCCTTAAAGCAAATTGCTGGAACTTTCCGTACCAAAAATTATTATTTTTTTAAAAACGATTAACATTTTTGAAACTATAAATTCCATAAAAAATTATCTTTTTTGAAAAAAAAAGTGTTCTTTATTTTGGCATAGTTTGGAAATTCTGAACTTTTTTTCAAAGCAATCGTACTGCTTTAACTGCATGAGACAAATTGTCAAAGCGCGTAAGCGCCGCGTTGCCGTCTAACGGATAAACATTGGTACGGAACCCATAGGAATGTAAACAAAATTTATACTTATTGTTAAAATCTCTATAAAATATCTGATAATTTGATGTGCATATGTCTAATGATCATTTTTGACCGCCAAATGGCTTTTTTATTTACTTTTTTTATTAGATCTCCGAAACCGCTAGACCTGCCTTCATCGTATTGATAAGGACGTGCTAATTAGTTTTTGGTGGAGGCAGGTCTAGCCGTTCCGAAGATACGGGGCAAAAAGTGCCCACGGCTTTTAAGAGAAAAGAAGAAACGGTAACACGGTTTTTAAGAGAACGGAGCGTCCGATTTTAAAAATTCAAAAAACATTTTACTTGTATTGAAAAGATGAAGAATTGATGAAGGCAGGTCTAGCGGTTTCGGAGATCTAATGAAAAAAGTAAAAAAAAAAGTCATTTGGCGGTCAAAAATGATCATTAGACATATGCACATCAAATTATCAGATATTTTATAGAGATTTTAACAATAAGTATAAATTTTGTTTACATTCCTTTCCTTTACAAGTTTTGTTTGAATTGCAGAAAACAGAGGACGTCTATCGATTTTCGATAGTGTTTTCATTAATCTGTTACAAGTAATTTTCAATTTTTCAATTCGAATATTGAAAACCGATATTTCTTACTAAAAACGGTTTTCGAATTTCATAAATTTTAAACCCGGTTTTAAAAAAATCGACAAACCGTAAATGCCACATTTATGAGGGACAATAAATAAAATAAATGTAGATGATAATGGAAATCAATTAACGAATTAACGATAACGCAAATCAATTAACGAAAATTCTTTGCTATAAGCCGATGATAAATATGAATATTCTATAAAAAATGAGTTTTTAGCGGAATTGGTGATATATTCGACAAAACATTAGCATTTTATATTAGATTGAGAATGTGCCTGATGGTCAGACCGACGGAAGAACTGACGGACGATTGGATAAATATGTGGATTTTCAAATGATGAAAATCTATTTATTTAGTTGGATGTTAAATTTTATGGTTGTGTATATAAAGCGCACATGAATTGCGCGGTTGACGTTGTACCGGCACGACTTCGTGGAGCCACTGAAAAAATCAATATGCCAGTCTGCTTTATCACGAAACTCACTGCAAAAGTTCTTTAGGGAGTGCAAGTGTCAAACTATTAGGAACTGGGAGATAATAATTACTAATACTAATCGTTATTTTTATCAACGTCGTTATTATTAAACAAGTTTAAAGCGCGAGTTAGTTTCACAAGTGATGACTATTATTCTATCATCACGTATTTTATTGCGCGACTATTATTTCCAATTTTATCGTGTCGCTATCATTTCCAATTACAAATAGTTTTTTCAAGTAGTGTTTTTTGAAAGTGTTGTGCCAAGATGCGTGCACTAAGTGCCAATGAAGCCGGCATGGATGACATGGCCGGGGCCCAGGACACGATTTATTTGTGCAACTTTCGTGTATCGGTCGACGGCGAATGGCTTTGCCTCAAAGAATTGCAGGATTTAGATCTTCAGGAGTTAAGTCCAGATCGGTATGATCTGGAAAAGGAACGGGATTGGGTTCAATATTGTACGTTAATATTTTTTAACCCTACTAATGTAAGAAATCGTTAAAAAAATTGCTCATATGTCGAAACACTTTCTCTTATTTTTATACGTTATATTAGTTACGTGTACGTATATATTAGTTAACATATCCTCCTTATAATATATTTTAATGTTTATGGCCAAATTAATCAGAATGATAAATTTGAAAATAGAGCTGATATTCTAATCCTTTGATAATTGCTTTTTTTATTATTTAATTAAGCATTTTAAAATTTAAAATGATTTTGTTATATTTTATGTCCTTATGGATAGGCTTGTGCAATACGAAATCCATAGCCAATAAGCACTTTTGAAAATTTTAGTTCAAAATGCTGTTTACGCTCCTGTTTCCAAAGTTTAAACGAACAAAAGTAATAAAAATTACCCACAATAACCAAAGTTTTAGGTTGCACATTATATATTATATATATATAAAAATAAGTCGGCTTTTCCTTCCTGACGATATAACTCCAGAACGCACGAACCGATTTCGACAATTTTGCATTCGTTGGAAAGGTCTCGGGCTCCGCAAGGTTCATAGCTAATTAGTGGTGCATAGCATCGAGTAATAACATTAGTGAGAATTACCAGAATTATGCTTGGTAAAGTTAACGAGCAATTATTGCCGCAAAGAATAATGATGTACACGCACTGAATTTCACGATTCAATCAAAAACTGCTGACAATTTGATGACATACCAATGATTCCGACTGGTCTTCCGTTTGACTTCAAACGATTGCAATTTCCAGTTTGCCTTGCGTTCGCAATGACAATTAACAAGTCCCAAGGCCAATCGCTTAGTGTTTGCGGGATAAATTTCAAATAGATTATTTAGAAAATCATTGTTCTTCACATGAGCAGTTACACGTTGCCTGTTCACGAGTTGGAAAACCATCCGCTTTGTTTCTGTTAACATCAGACCAAAAAACAAAAAATGTGGTTTACCAAAGAGCACTTCAATGAAACTTCAATTCAAACTTCAATTTCAATTAAAAAACACTTCATTTTTGTAAACAAAATAAATTCATTACTGTTGTGTAAAAAAATCAAATTTTTTCTTTTCAAATATAAAACAAACAAAAAATTTCTTCACCTTTCTCACGAAACCATCTGGTGGCGAAACGGAGTTTGTCGGGTTTGCTAGTATATTATATATATATATATATATATATATATATATATAATAGTTTCTTCTATAAATTCCTACTGACAATGAAAAAATAAAGTTGAATCAGTACTAGCAAAAGGCGCACACCTTGCCCTTCAGAGTTGGCCAGGTTCTATATAGTATAGTAATACAGAAAGATCTACAGTCTTTCGAATAATCCTAATTAAATTTTTTTTAGTAATTTGCTAAATAAAAAATGTCCCAGGAATGTAACCAAACAAAAATAGTTATTTTTGTAAGCACTAACAAATAATAACTTAATATTATAAATAATATAGTCCCATAGATAAACAAGCATAGTTTTGACTATTGTGGATACAAATACGTCAATTTTTTTATATCTCTTACGGGCAAAAGCATATTTACGCAAATTTTTAGTGCTACATTGGGCAAATGATGATATAGGAAGTTGAAAATAGTTTTTTTTTTAAAAAAAAAGAAAAAAGACTTATAAGATTTCGTATGTTATAAAGCTCTTATTTAAGTATACACACATGCACAAAGTTGATTTGAGGGATAAACATAATAGTAATTTTAGAGTTACAGAATAGCAAACGCTAGATATCGCTTTATAAACCAACGCTCACATATCTCAGTAAAATATCAGAAATTTTCAACTTTAAATATATCGTTACATTCACAACGATTTAAGTACCTACGTCGAATTATCACAGTTTTTCTAGAAATTCTCTATACTTTTTTGACTAAATTGTGGATTCCAAACGTAGGATTGACAATTTTCATAATGCTTATATTCACATCAAAGATATACAAAATATATTCTAAGAAAACACGCCGTATTTAGCAAAACAAATGTTGATCATAACTTTTTTTAAATTCGTAGTTATATTATTTTTTCGATAGTACTATTTTGATACTTTGTTCCTATTTTTATGTGAGTTGCAAATATCAATATTTTTATGATTACATTTCTTTATTCATATAAATTTATTTACAAAACTGTAAGTTGCAGTAATTAGTATTACTTATTTTCTTCATATTCTGTTTCAGCACGCGATCCTGCTGCAATCGAAAGGAGCAATCTAGTCAATATCTGCAAACTCGTCGTAAAAGAATTGCTGGAGCAGTCGTTGCGTTATGGCCGTATGCTGGATTCGGATCATTTGCCTCTGCAGCACTTTTTAATTGTCTTGGAGCACGTACTGAGGCATGGCCTGAAACCAAAAAAGGTAATATTGGAAAGCTAGCTGTACCACATATATTTTAATTTATAGAACTTTATTATTAGATTGCATACCATATTCGAAAATTTATATTTATTTGATTTATTTCGAAATTAAAAACAGGTAGGGCAAGGTTGCACAATTCGTACCTCCTAAGTCCAATAATACTATATTTTTAGTACAATTAAATTAGAAGAAAATCTTTGGCTTTTATTAATGTATTATTGTTGATGATTACCAATTGCTAAAATTGTTTTTTTTATTAAAATTTGTGTTTTTAGGTTTGTGCAAAAATGTGCTTTCGGTACGATTAAAACTAATAGCCGCTAATAGCCTTAGTCGTACCTACTAGAGATGGGCTTATCATATCCGAAGCCGGATCGACTCGGATTTGACTCCGCTTCAGGGAGGAGTTATATCCGCTTAACAACTCCACGACTCCGACAACTTTGAAACTGAAATACTCGACACAAATGTGTTCTATAGTGCGTTGTTTATGCATCTAAGGATTTGTCAAATTCTATTTAATTTTTTTAAATGAAAATTTATGAATAAAATAAAATTAAAAAAACATCAATAAAATAATTTTTCTAAAAAATTCACAAATAAATGACTAGTTGTAGAACTTTTCGGTCGACCACATGATCGACTCAACGACTCGTAATTTTAACAGTGTTGACCAAAGTAAAAACGCAAAACTTGAGAATCAAATTCAATTTAATTATTTTCTTTTGATGAGAAAATAATTGTTTTTTTGGATTAATTCTATATAAAAATAATGTAGTAAACTTAATGTAATAAAAGCAAAACATTTACCATAAAATATTTTCACCAAATAATAATACTTCCGCATTCTAATTTTTTCTTCTGCTATTTCCATTCGAGAATTAATATTATATCGGGTAGTTCGATTAGCATATTATTACTTTTACACAATTATATCATTGTGTAAAAGTAATAATATAATACTAAATATTTTTTGCTGCTTAAATACATTTGACGTCACTGATATATTTTACACTTTCTAAAGTATTGTTATTTCAGGCTATGGAAAAGCCAGATTGAATGTATTTCGTTTCATGTATTTTTCGGTATTTATATTCCTAACTGCCGTCATTCACGGCCAAAGATTGTCGTAGTTAGAAATATGACCCCTTACTATTCAATAAATTATACATTGGAGCTATTCACACTTGAACACAATTTCATTGTTCTGTATCTTTGAAGTAATATTTTTGTATTTTCTGGAAAAAAAAACGTATACCTAAAAGGTCATAAAACTGCCTGTGAGACGAGAAAGCGATAGCTTCCTTAATATCAGTTTAGGGAAGTCGGATATGACAAATCCGGCGAGACAACTCCACTCGGATTCACTCCGAGGGAGGAGTTGTATCTGAGTGATAACTCTGGAGTGAGTTACCCATCTCTAGTACCTACTACTAAAAACTATGTAGAATTCAGTCAATGAGATTAACTTTTTTTTAGATATCAGTTACTGGTTGACTGACTACCATCAGAAATAAATCTTGAAGCGGACTGTAATGAAATAGTCGGTATCTGACGATAATCATACCAAATTTTATTATCACTGTATAAAACAGTGCGTTTTGTATAGAATTTATATTGTATCTTCAGACTATTAGAAATACAGTGGTGATTAAATATATATGGTAACTGTCCCGCTGCATTGTCTAGACTAACTTAAAATTATAACTGTCAAGAGTGTACAGAATATTTAGGTATAAAACAGAGCCCTTGTGTGAATGATAAGGCCAGAGGCTGCAATATTCTAAGAAATGCAAACGATACACTGCGCAAAGGCATTGAAACTGATAAACCGTCAGAATATATTCTGACCAGTTACAACGTCGATCATGATTATTAGCACTAAAAAAAAATTGTAATAATATCAAAAAGTAACGCATCATATACTTATAAAATTATTAAGTTTCTGGGTGTTAAGAATGAAGATCGCATTGTTCATGAAGGTACAGCCGTTATTGCACCCGCTTTATGTTTTTCAAATTGAGGTAAAATTTTGGAACACCATATTTATATATTATTTTTTCGTATTTAAACAAAACAATAAAAACGCTCGCTTTAAACAAATTCTTCCATTCGAATAGGCCTAAACGATTTTAAAATAGGTATAATAATTATTAGTTCAAAAAAATCATAACCATACTATTGCCACAACTTACAACTGAATAAAAAATATTAGTAGAAACTTTACAAAAAACTTACATTTTAATCATTTCTGTTCCACAAAGTCGGTCAGCCTTCTACTTGCAAATGGTGTCTTTCTCATCTAAATAGTTGTATTTAACGATACGATATGATACAATTTATAATTATCAGACAAGATTTTGATTATTTAGTTCAATTCATAACTCAATTTTATTCGATACAAATTATTTATTTTAATACATATTTAAATAAAAATATTCTTTTAATTTCAGGGACTGCTTGGTCCCAAAAAAGAATTATGGGACTTGCTCCAAAGCGTTGAAAAATATTGTCCGGAATCTCAAGATATAACCTCAAGTGTCAGAGATTTACCTACAGTTAGGTGAGTTGATATATTTTTTATTTAATGAGTTGTAGCAGAAATTTTGCTACCAGATGTGAATTTGGCATGTTGTCATTATGGTGGACCAAGAGCCCAAGACACTACAAGATATTAGATACTACAGACATTACTTTTGAACCCAATTGATATATGTTTTTGTTTATTTTAGGACACATATGGGAAGAGCCCGTGCATGGCTCAGGTTAGCACTTATGCAAAAGAAAATGGCAGATTATTTGCAAGCACTTGTCGAACATCGTGACACTGCATTGTCTGAATATTATGAATCGCATTCACTGATGATGAGTGATGAAGTAAGATTACAAAGTTATATATATATATATATATATATATATATATATATATCTTGATAGTTTTTTCGACGTTGAAACATATTTCAAAGTAACTAGCAGCCCATTCGTCGAAATATTTCGACAAATGGGCTGCTAGTTACTTTGAAATATATATATATATATATATATATATATATATATTTGCATATTTCACTTTATTATTAATTTGTATTTTTACAGGTTATAGTTATAATGGGTTTGCTAGTAGGCCTGAATGTCATAGATTGTAATCTGTGTGTCAAAGGAGAAGATTTAGATTCCCAACAAGGTGTTATAGACTTTTCACTTTATTTACGATCAAGTTCACGCTCTAGTCCAGAGGAAGACATAAATTTGGTTTCAGCTGAGAGCACAGGACAGATGAATGCAGTATTAGACCAAAAAAATTATATTGAGGAATTAAATAGGCATTTAAAGTAAGATCAGCACTGTTGTCACACATTATTTGTCTTGAGCTTAAAAATAAACATCTAATAATATATTTAATGATATTTTTATTTTTGCATTATAATTCTACTAGACAATTACCGGATTGAATAAAATTATAATCTGAATTAGTTTCAATATGTGTTCATATATTTAAATGGGTGAAGATTAGATATTGAGAGAGAAATATTGTATTTAATAATGTTCATCTTATTACAGTGCTACAGTTGGAAACCTTCAAGCAAAAGTAGAATCATTAACAACTACGAATGCATTAATGAAAGAGGATTTATCAATTGCCAAAAGTGCTCTACTTGCATTACAAACTGAAAATAAAATGCTACGGAGTAATTCAGGTAATAGTCATACATGCATAATATGTATAAGTATATAAAAATATTTGATAAAAATTTATACATGAATATTAATATAAATTTAAATAAATTTAGTATCAGTGATATTGAACCCAAATAACTAAACACAGTTTTTATTTATTTTGTGTATTATTTGATAGAAAAGGATGCAATAAATGGTACATCAGATACTTGTAGTACAACTAGCAAACAATCTAATGATGCAAATGAACTTATGGCTGAAATAAGAAAACGGCAAGAAGTAGAAAAGGAACTTGAATTGCAAGTATGTCTAAATATGCTTCGGAACATATACTAAGTCATAATTATACGTAATTTTTCCAACAGATGTGTTTAAAAGCTGAGACTGAAATGGCTATGAAATTATTGGAAAAAGATATTCATGAGAAACAAGACACAATAGTTTCCCTTCGAAGGCAGTTGGAAGATATTAAGCTTATAAATTTAGAAATGTATAAAAAATTGCAGGTATGTAGTAATTTTAAATTTTAGAAAGTATGTGGGTGTGTATGTGAGTGTATGCACATTTTACTCTTTGCTCTTTGTCCACTTTTTTTTAAAATTTCTGCACGTATTTTAAAAAGTGTTTTTGAACATTTGCTAAAACTAAATAACTCCTATTAATTATCTTTGATAAATAATTAGTTCAGCTTTTTTTCAATTTTTTTTATTATATTTTGTAATATATTTTTTTTTGTAATTCTGTACTGTATTATATGTGATAATAATATTATTAATGCTGACCATCTGCTGCTGACTAGGAATGCAAATCAGAATTAACACAAAAAGGTGAAATGGTGTCTAGACTTCAAGTCAAAGCGTCTCAAATAGGAAAAATTTTGAATAATTTAGAAAAAATGAATACTCCGACAAAAGAAACTTGTCCTGGAGACTTCAAAGAGGGGGGACCACAGCCAGCAAAAAAGCTATTAATAAAGTGTGATCCGATACCTCCATATAAACATAAAACTGATAATGATTTGAATAAATCGCAACCGACTAGTCCATCGAATGAATAACTTATTTCAATCATAAAATATGTAGCGCATTGCATGTTTTAAGGATCATTCAGTTTAGTCATGGTAATAATAATAATATAGAATTATTATTACATAGTATTCTAACGCTTTCCACTCGCGAATTGCGAGACTTATATGTATTTTGCCGCATCCGAGTGGAAAGGGTTACAGATATTGGGGGACGGGAATGATAGAATTTCAAACTGGACAATGCACATACAATAAACGTAAGGATCTAAAATGAATTTTCTAGCTAGTGGTCTACACCAACAATGATACTAAAGTTTAAATATATGTATATATTCATATATACATGTATATCTATAGGGACATGTATATGTATACATTGGTAAACTTATGAATTTGTTTATGAACTGCATGTTGAAGTGAGTTTTTGTTTTATTTTCTGATTAATAGTATTCACTTAATTATGCTGATTAATTTTAACCATTTATATGATTTATTTGAGACAATTAAAACTAATAAAGAGACATGTGATTTATTGCACATGAAATACAGTAAACAAAGCATATCTTATTGCTTCTTGCAATGCAACAGACCAGTATATACATATACTTTTTCCTGTTTGGAAATGGCACTGTTATGAGACTTTTAAGGTTACTGCTTGGAGTAATGAAATTGTTATATTTGTTGAGTTGCATGGGTTGAATAATCAAAAATATAAAAGGGCCAGACTATCAGATATTGGGTAATATTAGGTTTGCAACTAAGTAAATGCGGCTTTCACTTCAGATGGTTCAATTGAATTGTTAGGTTTGCTGACGTAGTCAAAATAGTTTAGATGTTCATCAGTAAAAAAGTTTTTTAATCAATTGTGTAGCTTTCATTTGGCGTTGATTGAAAGGTTGAAAATCAAATTGAAATTTTTTGTCATATGTTGTTTTTTTATTTCCGCAAAGGTAAAAAGTCATTTTAAGCTAATAATAAATTGTAAGCTGTTCATGGTGACGAAGCATTAAAAAAACGGCTGTAACAAATTGGGTTGCCAAATTTTGTTCTCGTGATTTTGAACTCAAAGATGAAAAACGCTCTGTTCGTTCAGTTGAAGTTGATTGCAAAGGATTTGTCTATTTCTACCATACTTTTTTTTACCATGCAGCCGAACAATCAATTCTGATGTCTACATTGAACAACAAACGAAATTAAACAATGCAATTGACATAAAGCGGCCTGAATTGACAAATCGAAATGTGATTTATTCCATAATTGACATTACACATCTGCATCTTACAAAAATTGGAGTATGGTTGGGATGTTTTGTCACATTCAACACATAGTTTTGTCAGGTGCCAAATCGTACCTGATTTAGTTTTTGGCTAATAAAAACCAGAAGCTTTATGAAAGTGGTGTAATGACGCTGCTTGGAAGATGACAAAAAGTTATTGATCAAAATGGACAATACATTACAGGATATTCCGTACTTACTTAGTTGCCAACCTAATAGAATTCATTTTTTTTTGTTAAAACTTAAAATATGGCACATAGTTAGTTGTTCTGTTTTTAGTACAGAATATGAGAAATAGCAATTTCAAATATGATGGTGTTTTGCATATAAATACATAACTCCAATTGATGTGTATTTTTGGATTGATCAAACATCATAATATAATTATAATTTATGAGTAAGGAATATTATTACTTCTACTTAAATCAGTGGTTTCCAACCTTTGTATCATGTCAACATTTTTGTTTTATTTTTGATAGTAGTATTTTGGAAACAGCTGTACACCATCTTTGGATTAGTCTTGCGCGTTTCACAAATTGGAAACCACGGAGTTAAGTTTGTTAGATATGTTTATATCAATTCATATAAGAATTATAGTTAGTATTTTACAGGAATGTGACAGTTCATTAAAACACAAGACAGAACTTGTAACGAAATTAGAGGCTCAAAATGAATCACTGAATGATGCAATACAACAGTTGCACAACAAGTTAGTATTGAGTTCTTTTTGCTTTATTTCTAACGTTATCGTTTTATTAACCAAAAACTACGACATGATACAATATTTCTTATTTCAATTAATGAAACTAACATTTCATATTTAATTTTGGTATTTCTAATTTTTTGGACTTTTTTTGTCATCTTCTATTGAACTATTACTATTTGTGCTTTGTAATTTCTTGTACTTGGTCAAACATTGCACGTTTTTTTAGTTTGGTAAGACATCATTTATAATCGTTTATAATGTGATCGATTTGCAACACTAGCGGGACTACGATTCAATTTCGAGTATTTGTAATGATTTTAACTAATCGTAGGACTCATATATTTGTCTGGCTTGCATTTTAAACTTCATCGATAAATCTTTCATTATTTAGATCAATAGGAAAGAGCAAAACTATGTTTTTAGTTCAGAGTTTCATAATTTTTACTAACACTATAATTGCCTATAGATAAAAGCGGTTTTTCGCATCTCGAAATGATATATAAGAATTGGATTTGAAGTATATTTTTTCATAAATTTAAATAACGTCGTCTAAAATAAATGTATTAAGAATACATATTACATTTTACTTATTTTTGAAATTTCGACCACATTTTGTAAAAAGAACTAACATTATTTGATTATGCAAAAGAGGAATGAATGAAGAAATTTTATATTCTTTGCAACCTTACTATTTCTTTCTATAATTTTTCAAAACAAAACCTTAACCATTTTTATTAACATTTTGAATTCAGCAATTTTTCTCGGTGTTTGCCGAAAAATTAAAAATTTAAAATGCTTGTGAAAATTAAAATTTTCTGTCAAGGGATTGAATATTATATGATAGACGTAGATTATTATAAAAAGTTTAAGCGGCTTCAACAAATGTTTTTATAATCATTCATTTTTTTGGTAATTTTTTTTAAAGGTTTTACTAATTTGATTACGACGTATCCCTTGTCAAAAAATCATAATTGAATGAACATTTTGCTCTAGTTGATAAGATATATGAAAACAAGACAATTTTTAAGACCGTAAATCAAAATTTAGATTTACAAATAATAAATTAGTAAATATCTGATACTATCAATTTATTCTAAAATATTTTTTTTTAATTAAGAATTTAAAATAAAATTTATTTTCTTATCAAATATTTTTAATTTTATAAGTCGGCTACGTGTTGATCATATATGTATTTTTTTTTTGTACATAGTAACAATTCACTATATTAGATAAATCTTTTTGATATTTAGCAATAAGGAATGTTAATGTTAATATCTATGTGTCACCCTTAAACTTTTGAAATCGGAGGATGCAACTGTTTTGTTTAAAAAATCTGATAATAAGTTAAATAGCTAGGAGAATATGGACAAGTGTTATGGTTTTTGTCGTAATCATGATACTCTTTTTTTTATTGCTTGAGATGAAATGATCTTATGCCGAACTGTTTACTTTTGGGATACATCAATTCCTAATAAGATTTGGTAGAAATTATTAAAAATGTAGTTCTACATTTTGTTCTCATGTTATGGCATTTTAATTTTTATAAAATATTTTTTTTTTAACTTTTGTGGAGTTGATTTTGCATTACATAAGTACATTAACTAATTATCGTATGAGTTTGCATAAACTAAAATACTTTGGAAATGGAATGTAAAATAAACATAAAAAATGTTATAATATTATTTTACCGGATTTTAACGATCGGAGTTTGGAATTTAAATTTCTTTTAATTGTGTATTATTGTATATTATTCGATGCGTACTTCTGGTAAATGAAGTATACGTATAAATTTATATTTTTCTCAGAACATACTTGGTGAGAATTTAGATATGACGGTTTCACAAACTTATTCGTTAATATATTCCGTATATACACGAAGTGTTATCCTTTTCGTTTTTATGCTTTATCCAAATGTTAAAAAATGTTTAATTTTATTACGATACGTTTTATTGTACTGTACTTCTTGAATGCAAACTCTATAAAAGCAACACATGAACTATAAGCGATTATTATGTTATTGTGTTAACCCCATGTAAATATATACCTTAAATATAATAATGCTTTATACTTTAAATCAGTGCTTCTCAACGCAAAATTTTTGCATGCTGCCAAATTTCAAGAATATAATATTCTTTATTGTCTTTCATACTACTACGTATTTCCTTACTTTGTGTGAACCACAAATAGGTTGAGAATCACTGTTTTAAATAGATCTGTATTTTTTAAAAGCATACAACCTGTGATATATCTTTTGCACATGTATAAATAAAAATTTGGCAAACCGAAGGATTATATTTAATATTTCATATTGCATAATTGTAAGGATATCCCTACTACACCTAGTGATTAATGAATACTGTATATCATGAAAATCTAATAAATATAAAATATATACTATGAATAAAATTTAAATGTCTATATTGGTTTGGTTTTATTATCGTTATATGATTATTGTTTATTATTTATAATTTGGGTTTGCCATATTTTTATTTATGGTGTTTAATTTTTTATTTCTTGCTTTTACTGTCTTTTTATAGTTTCATTAATTTTATTTATTGTTTATTTTATTTTATTAGATACTCTACTGAGAATTCAAGTTTAAGGACATTGAAGGAGTCATCGGAAGAACTATCACATAAGGTATTGAATCACATATGTATTTTAAATTTACTTATAAATCAGATTTTAAGTACAGTGCAGAGTACAGTACCCAAAAAAATATAAACGTAGTTTTATGTTTCATTAATTACTTTATACATTTTTGGTAGACTTTTGGTATTATGTACTTGATTTGATTATACTGCATTATCAATTCATAGAGATTTTAATAATGCACACAAAAATATATTTCACTAATTTTTTATTTCCATTCTTGAAATTCTTATATTTGATACTTTTGAAGACAAGTTTTATTCTAAGAGAGCATTTTAACTACTTGAGTAACATTTTCTATTAGTATTGTAATCTAGATATTTTAGGAAATCAATATTTTGTTTTGATATTTTCAAAGTTTAACTATTCCAGAACATATGTACAAGAGGATTTTTCATAATTTAAATTATTTTCGAAGATATAGTTGCTTGACCACAATAATTCTCTTCTGTTTACTTCATCTGCCAAACCTTAAACCCCCTTTTTTCGAAACTGTCTTTTTTGATACGAACTTTTACTAGACTTGTAATTTTCACTGTCTTCTTTATAAACTTCTCATCAGTATGAACTATGCTCATCACCAAATTCCGATTTTTACTATTTTTTAAAAAAATCGAGGATTTTTTGTGATTTTTTTTCACTTGTTCGTAGTTTGTACGAATGCGACATTATTCTAGATTAAAAATATTTTTCATTTTTTTTATTGAGTTATTTGGAGGGCTAAAATCAGGGGTATTCTTACGTGACAATTTTTTTGAGACCCCCACTTCATCACTTGCTATAAGTTGAACTTTTTGACTATTTTTAATTTTCAATTTTCTTTTTTATTCTTAAAACATTAATTAGTAGTTTATAAAAAATATTTAGTAAAAGTATTGCTGCATTTTTTACGGCCTTTCAAAAATCACTTAAAATTCAGGTCTCTAAACCAGAATAGCCCCTTATTATATAAACAATTTCAAATATTTGGGTCTTATGTTCGTGCAGTAATATTATAAATCCTATTTTTTTTTTTAATTTCAATCTAGAATATAAATGTATATATAATATTTCAGCTTTTTAATTTTTTTTTAAATTTGATTTTTGCCATATACACCCAGGCCTCGCTATACGGCCGCTCTTTATACGGCCTTTCGCTATAACGGCCCTCTTTAATTAAGGTACGTTTTCGATATACGGCCTAAAATGTTTCGCTATAACGGCTTTTTTTCTCTATGTCGATATATTGCGCAATCTCGGTTTTGAAGATTTAAACGAATCTGATGTGCTGGATCTACTTGCAACTGATAGGGAACCCCTTTCATATGAGGAACTCATTCAGTTGCAAGCAGAGCCGGCAATTGATGAAGATACAGAACCTGTTGTATCCAAACAGCTAACATCAAAAATCATGTCGAGCGTTTTTTCATATTTTGAACAAGGTATAAACATCTTCCTTGAAAACGATCCTGACATCGAACGTAGCGCTTATGTGTATCGAGGAATTAACTCAGCCATTAACTGTTATAAATCACTAAAGGAAAAAATAGACAAGAAGGCAAAACAAACAAGACAAATTTTTCAACCCACCAGCGCAAAATGATGGTGACAGTGATCTGTAGGTTTTAGTTGTTTCATTTTTATTTGAAAATTATGTAATGTTTTTGAAGTTTTTTATTTTATGTAAAATTTATGTTCTTGTTAGATATGTTTATAATTTAAACAAAATAAAAAAATAAAATGCATTTTGGATGAAACCATATTATATATTTATTAAATTTGGAACCGATCCCATTGAATTTGTATGAATACGTATTAGAATAATTGATTCGTTATACGGCTTTTCGCTTTACGGCCAAGTTTTGCGGAACGTATCTAGGCCGTAAAGCGAGGCCCCAGTGTATTGATAAAATATTTTTGATCATGTACGAAATTAAACCATATGAAAAACAAATCTAATCTTTACAAAAAATAGAATTGTCTATAAATCTAGTAGAGTTGATGGCTTTAAAAGTAATATAAAATTTTCGAAATTTTTAAAATATACATTTGAATTTATTTTGTAGCTGTTGAATGCAGAATCAAAAACTTTAAAAGTTGAATGTGATTTGCGAATAGAACGTGAATGGAGGACATGCTTGCAAGCAGAAAGTGTGGCAGATAAAGATAAAATAGCTAATTTGCAAGCACAGATCAGAGATTTACAAGAATTAGCACAAGTAAATATCACTAACAACATTAAATATTTTTTTGTGCAAAATGACTTACACATTGGGGGTTTTGTACAAATACCTGTATACTGAAGTATAACAATGTATTTTACTTTGAAAAACTTAACAAAGGCAGTAATTTTCTGATCGTTACTTCCGAAAATTATACTTGCTGATTTTATGTTTTTTCAAAGTTTAAAGTCATATGAATATTCTTAATCGTTTGAGTGTGTGAGCTGATTTTTGATCTTTTGTCGACATTTTACCATAAACAATTAAAAAATAAAAAATTCAAAATATATTTAATGTAACTCGATAAGGACTTACGTTGATTAGTTTTGCGCGATGATTGCAAAAATTATTGATAAATCGATTATTTACACATTTCGATAAGATCATGCAACATTCCTTGGGGAAATGCCACTTACATCTAGTTGTAATCTAAATTAATCAAGTATTTATTATTGAATTTAATCATTAATAATAATTAATTAAGTAATTATTTGTAACTACTAATATTAAACTTGATGATTAGAATTAAAAAATCTTGATGAATTTTAGAATCATTTCAATAATTCTACAGTTATTTCTATACATGGTGGTGTATTAATTTTGGCATTTAAAAACTAACAAATGTACAAATGAAAACTTCTATAATATGAGAAATATTTATAAATATGCAACTAATAAATTTGATCAGTAAAATGTGAGGAGTAAACAGGTGTTTGTTATATATATATATATATATATATATATATATATATCCTTTCATTTGAATAATTTATTATTGTAATTATTAATATGATTTTTATTGTAGAAAAATAGACAGATTGAGCAGGAGCTAACTTTAATAAAGGAACAGTATAAGGACTCTCAAAAAACTTTAGAAGAAATCGGTTTTCAACTTAGTGTTTCGAAATTGAAATTATCTGATATGCAAGAAGCCAATCTGGCTAGTAGTAACGTTGACACAGTGTGGACACCAGATAAAACTGCCTTAGAGTGTAAAGGATGTTCGAAAGAATTTTCTATAACCAGGCGAAAGGTATTATGAATTATCTAACAGTAATCTAACTAACTAATAATGCTAAAAAAAATAAATAAGTATGGATGTAATAACTCGAAAATTTTCTGATTTAAAAAAAAATAAACTGATATGAATCGACACGAATCAAGTAAAAGCTCAATAAGTGTATATATTTAGTAAATGTGATAATTATTTATTATATGATTTGTAGAAGTTTTAATAGGCTCAATATAGTAAAGACTGGAAATACTTAAAATCAGCTTGTTCAGCGCTTGTTTTGAATATTTAGAATCACTTGATTGGATTGTAGTGGATTTTTTTCTTTTCAATACTGTATTTTTACTATTACTAATTATTTTTTAACTTTTGTGGCTACATTGACCCTAAAGTGACGCTTAAAATATAAAAATCGGATAATAAATTGGTCAATTCAACTTTTTATATAACAAGCTTAATAAAGCACATTTTAATTAATTTAGGTGATAAACAGTTGCGGTAAATTTGTCTCTTATTGAATCTGATGAATAATGAATCTATTATTTTGCAATATTGTATAGTTGGAAATATTTATTAAACAATTGATAATTATTTTTATATCCTAATATTTTAGCATCATTGTCGTCAGTGCGGAAACATATTTTGTCACAACTGCTCTGACAAAGTTGCTGTTTTAGAAGAGAGCGGAAATAAACCTGTAAGAGTATGTGATACATGCTGGGATAATTTGCAAATATCCTAAGTTATTGATATTTTTAAATATATATTTATATTATTTGTATGTAGATTAAATCTGAATGCAAAGTACAAATATTTTAAGAGTATTGTATATAATATGATAATTTTGAATGAAAAGATAATTGAAAAGAAATGAAAAAATAATTGAATATTTGAATAATTATAAAAATAAATGTAATTTTAAACAATACAGAATGTTGAAATATAGAAAAACCTCAATTTCTTAAGTGATAACTGTAATTTGTAAGAACTCTGTTTCCTTTTTACCACTCTTTAAATTACTGTATAATAAAATTATTTTCCTGAAGGTGTTAGTTGATATACAACTGAAACGAAAAATCTTTTGCTGCAAAATATGAAATGTCCTTAATTTTGATATTAATAAGAATTATGATTGTATACATAAGAAACATATAGAAAGAAAACTAGTGGTACATGTCTTAATGCATTAAGGTCAATTGATGTAACTTCCCACGCAGTAATGAAACTGAAAATTCTGTTTTTTTTTTAAAAAAAATTTTGAAATTTAAACGCACATACACACACATAGCAAATTTTTTTTTTCTAAGGTTTACAGGCACACGGATCAACCAAAATCAAAAACATTCTAATCCTATTGATAGGGAGATGTACTGATTAGTTTTAGGCAAGAGGAGGTCCAGCCATTACGGAGATACGGAGCAAAGATTACAGAAAATAGAAATCGAGTTTTTAAGAAAATGTAACATCCGATTAATGTGTAAGTAATGATGGGTAGAAGTGTTTATTAGTTTTTGGCAAAAGCAGGTCCAGCCGTTTTGGAGATACCGGGCTAAATGTGCAAAAAATGGCAGTTTATGAGAGAACTGAGCATCCGATTTGAATGATTAATAAAACTTTCTGCTTGTTTTGACAAAATAATTGGTTTTGGAACAAAAATTATTTTAATTTTTTTTTCAAATATTTTTTATTTCAGAAAAAAAATGTTTTTTTTTGTGTATCGAAAATAATTCAGATTTCAATTTTAATTTGATTTCTGGCTAAAGTACTAAAGTTCACTTATATAATTAATAAATATTAGACAATGTTACAGTATTTATAATAATCTATTTGAAAACATTTAATATTCCTCGAACATTTTGTTACGGTACAGAAAGTTCCAGCAATTTGCCTGAAGGCATAATGCCATAGTTAACCCTTTCGACTCGAATGCCACCGCTCCGGCGGCATAGTCATTTTACCGTTGCGCTCGGATGCCGCCGGATTACATTTATTTATTGATTGATTTATTAATTTTATAAATAAATATATAACAAAATTAATTTATTAGCTCATGATCCCCATAATTCTAAAAAAGATCTGTGAAGAAATATTTAAAAGCAATATAACCACATTTTGAAAAAATCCGATACAAAAAAAAATTCCGAGTTGAGAGATAAGTATAGTACTATAATATGCCGAGCGTACCAAATAGCAGTCCGACTCCCGAGTGGAAAGTGTTAATTTTTAATTGCTACCTATTTAAACATTTGAAGTTCGCGGTCCAGCTGCTGCCACCTTCGCGTCATTGACATCTTTGTTCGAATGACATAAATCTTGCTATGGACGATGTGTAAATACACATTTCTGTGTTTACTTTAATTTTTGTTGTAAACATAAATAATAAATCATTGACATTTTGGGATGCTTACTTATTCGCAGTTAATTATTCTTGTTTTATGTTTGTTTTTGTATAACTATTTGGCTTTATGTTTTGTGGAATATTTTATGACTTAATTCTCTTAGAACTGAAAACGTCATTTTACTGAGTATTTATTTATTCACTTTATTGTTAAATGTGATATGAAAAGTTTATAATTATGGATGAAAAAGAAAGGGTCGCAAATGTTCCGCAACCGCCCGCCGGTTTGCAAGCACTATATAGCCGTTGCCGGGAATTATATCCTGATCAACCAAATCCTTTGCAGGTTACAGCTATAGTTAAATACTGGTAATTTGAAATTGTTTCTATTTTAAGTATACTATTTCTTATTTAAAGTATATTTATATCGAGAGTAGAGATACTACAGTTGTATACATATTTGTTCAAATTTTGAATTTGATGTTGATATAAGAAATATTAGTTATGTTTTATTAGTCGGGTGTTACAGCGATAAAAATTGTATGAATTTCTTAAGTGTAATTTATAAGTTTATATGAGATGCTTTGGTTAACATCCTAGCCTTCATTCATTATACTATACTTTATTAAAACTGTGTAAATAATCAGTGATATTTTAAGGAAATGAAAACTTATATTCTGATACCATAACATTATAAATAATAATTAAGGTAATATATCTTTTTGACATCAAAAACAACAGAAGTACAAATAAATAACAGTTATTGAAGTATCGCAAATGTGTCGCACTTTCTGTTCTAGGTGTCTAGGATAAAAATGTTACATTTTTCTAAAATAAATATTTGCCTTGAAGGGTATATATATACATATATACATATACATATATATTTCAAAGCACGAATTTTAAAAACTATTAAATTAAAATAAATATTAAATTAAAATATAATAAACGAAAAGGTTTTAAAAAAAGAACTCTTCTCATCGAGAGTGCAACAGATGCTTAGCTAGCAATCACCTTGATTCTCATGACGTTGCTATCAAGAAATAAACGGCAATGTTTGAAAAATCATAGCTTGAGTATTTTTGTTTGTTAGTTTTTTTGGTTGTGAGCACTGTTGTTTAGTTTACAAAACCTTAGTATATTTTTTGTAAGATGTATTGTTATTTAGATTCAACAGATTAGTTGAATCTAATTTTAGCTTAGTTGAGTTAGGTTCAACAGATTTGTTTATGTACCTTCTATAAAAGTTTACATATGTGTGTAATAAAAAGAACCAACAAAGGTGTAAAAGGTGTGACAAAGGTGTAAACAATCAGAAAATAGTAAATTAAAAAAAAAAAAAAAATAAGTAAATTAAATTAAAATAGGAATTTTATGAATAATATAGCTATTATTTCATAAAATCCCTTGTAATATTCATAATTTAGACAATGGATCTGCTCGCCCCCTAACTGTCCCTTTTTACCCAGCCCATGAGGTAAAAAAATGGCCAGATGTCAATTTTTAGAAATACAGTAAAAAAGCATATTTCTATGTTAAGAAGGAACTGGGAATTTTACTGGGCATAATTAATAGTTGTTTGTTTGATACATGTTATGTGTTGTGATGTAGTTTATTTGATTTAGACAGTATAATTTGTAGGAACCACCGATGACACCAAAATACGACCGACGATGCCAAACATGTGTGTAGGTTCTTTCTGCTGCTAAACAAACTGTTACCAAAGCTGTGGAGATCAGTAAAACAGATGAAGACTTTTGATGTACTCGTTTATTTCATGACTTCTCGTACACTCTGCATATAACTTGAACAACTGAACTTAAATATAACTCCATTGATTACTGAAGTACTACTGACTCATATTAATCTAATCTCATACTGATTCATACTGACCATTTATTACATCATTCACAAGCTTAAATACTAGCTCCTAGATGACAATGATATACGACTTTGTTTTTTCATTCTTTGAGTATTACTTTCGTTAACGAAGTAAGGTTTTGCGGTTAGAAAGCCTTAGAAAAGTCCGTTATTTCTGCCTTACCATATATATATGTAAGAAGACAGAATTTTGGTTTTAACTTAAAAATAAATAACATACAAAAAGACGAGCTTATATGTTGATATTTTTATTGTCATATTTATTATTATTTCAGGCTAGGTGGTCCAGATCCATTAGACTACATCAGCATGTATGCAAATGCTGGAAATGCCGCAAAAAAGATACCTCCTCATTGGCATTATATAAGGTATTAGTAATTTAATGATTATAATATCAATATCTTCTAAGATTTTATCTTAAAATATATTTTATTCATAATAAAATATAAACACAAATGAAATTTATTTTAATAGTTTTGGCCTGTCTGACTTGCATGGTGATGGTAGAGTCCATGAATTATCTACTATGCCCGGGGGGAGTTCAGGATTTGGATTTGAACTCACATTTCGACTGCAACGAGAGGCGAATGAAACCACTCCTCCTACTTGGCCTGCAGCATTGCTTCAGAGTTTAGCTAAATATGTTTTCCAAACAGGTTAGATTTAGAGAATTAGGTCAAGAATTATACAAATATAAGAGACTTATTTTTTAATATAACCGCAGTTTTATTACAAGAATTCATTCTTATATAAATTTCTTGTGCTCTTTTCTTTGAAATTCTTGGTCTCACAAAAGGCTGATAATTAATTTTAAGCCGTATGCATTTATTATTATTATTATTTGATTATATATTTAATTGGAGCAAGCTGGAATTTAATTTGCAGTGAATTTGTAAGTCTATTCAAACACATTTGCCATATTATGATGAACTAAATGTATAATTTTTACTCTAGGAAACAGACTTTGTGCAGGCGATCATGTATCTTGGCATTGTGCTTTAGATAATAGTGATTCACGTTTAAGACACATGTTAATGGCTGCTGATCCACAATTGGCAAGTAAGGAAACACCATTTGGAGTTGTTGACTTTATACAAGTGGTTGGCATTTGTGCAGAGGAATTGCAAGCATCACAGAAATGGTTGGGCGCAGGTGTTCTTCGGATGCTGAGTGAAATACCTAGGTGAATTTTTAATTTTAATAAGTTTACATTTGGTAGATCATTCCATCAGTAATAATGAATACTTGTATCAAATATTCTAGGGATAAATGTTATTTTATAATCATTTTTTTTATTGATATTTTATAACTAATGGTAAATCTTGAAAACAATTGTATTTGTAAATATTTTGAAAGATCCTCAATGCAATTTATTAAATATAATTTTTTGTGTATTTTATTAATTTAAATTAATTAATTAAGTATTTCAATTTTAGTTCTGGAGGTCCATATTTAATAACAAATATGCAACGTAGTCAGAGCATATTTGAAATTAACCCTAAAGCTCATGAAATAGTTGAACGAGGATTTGAAACTGATGGATCTAATTTAAGTGGTGTCAGTGCTCGTTGCTCCTGGATAGAAATTGCCTCGGTATGTATTAAGTTACATCTAATTCTGTTTTTGTGTAATACATAGATTACAGAAGAAACTGTGTGAATAAAATATACTGATCAGTTTCATGTTCTGCCATCTTGCTGAAAATTGTTAACATAAAATGATAGTTACTAAAAATACTATTGTAAATTTATACTTTATAGATTGATCATTTATCAAAATTTCAGAAGTATTAATTTATACTTCTGATATTTTCATTAATAATCATTTGGATTATCATAACAAACCCTTCAGAATATTATGGAAAGTGATTCAATTAAAAATATCAAACTAGTTGTAAGTGGCATTTTGACTTAAAGCAAGTTGCATGAACTTTCCGACATGTTTAAAAAATAGACTAAATTAATAAGACATAAAAATTTTGAATGATTTATAAGTATTCCAAGTGAGTTTAGAATATTATAATGTAAGAAACTTACAGGTTATATAGTTTGTTACACATTATTTAAAAACACATGCCTAATACTTACACGGAGTATTGTCTAAAAGCGCTGCCTATTAATATAAACTTTAATTAATTTTAACACTTAAACCACTTTTTGTAGGACTATAATATTTTAATATATTTATTAAGACCAGGTACTCTATCGCCATACTAAGTTTCATTAAAATCATCGTATTTTTTTTTTTTTTTTAACTTTTCCTAGGGTATGTTATAGTAATCGCAAAAAAATTAAAAATTAAAATTTTCATATATCTTTACGTTTTAAAGGTTACTGAACATTTTAGCATACCTTAGAAATAATATATGTGGTGTGTGTGTGTGTGCGCGTGCGGATACAAATTTTCGTTGACGATTTCGGGAACACGGTTTAACCAATTTGAGTGATTTAAAAAACATTTGATTCTTATTGATAAGGAGACGTGCTGATTAGTTTTTGGTAAAGGCAGGTTCAGTCGTTCTGAAGATACGGAGCAAAATGTGCCAAAAATGGTAATTCAGTTTTGGAGCGAATGGAGCGTCCGATTTGAATGATTCAAAAAACTTTTTATTTGTATTGACGAAATGAAGAACTGTTGAAATTTTTGGGAACGCAGGTCCATCGGTTTCGAAGATTCAATAAAAAAAGTCAAAAATAATGGCAGACATGATTAAAGAAAAAAATGATCAGTTTATAGATATTTTAATTATAGGAACAAATTTTGTTTACATTTCTATGGGTTTCATACTAATGTTTATTCGTTATACTGCGATGCGACGCCCACGCGCTTCGATATTTCGATTGCTTTGAGAAAAAGTTCAAAATTCCCAAAATATTTCAAAGTATAAAAAAAAATTTAATTAGGTCAATTTTTTTTTCAAAAATTTTAAAAATTGGTTTAGAATTTTCGGTTGAAAAATTTAGCACGTTTGTTAATTCTAAAGAAACGGCTTAGCCGACCGTATAATAAACTGACCAACGCTATTTTTGAAATCTGTCCAGTCGTTTTTGAGTAAACATCGACGAAACCCTGAAAAAAATCGACTCGGACACACACACATATATACATACGCACATACATTATTTTTCAACTTTAATCTCGTACGGTTCAGAATGATTTGAAACGTCGAGGAAACAAAATTAGCAAATCAGATTTTCTGACAAAAAACATAAACTTCTTCATGATAGTAAAAATTTAAGTCAATTACATTTTTCTTACTAGACCACATAAAAACAGAATTATGTAGATTTTATTTCAAGTGGTATATAAAATTAAAGTGATTTATTATATTTCAGAACATAAAACAAGAGAAGAATCAAAATATTGAAGAGAATGTTAAAAAATTAAATGTAAACGATCTTCAAAACAGTATAACATCGTCGGCTTCAAATTCGAATTTCGATATAAAATTTGAGCCACTAGATCAGTACATCACACAGTATTTAAATGGCATTCACATAACGTTCAACTTAGAAGCGGGGCACCTGTTACCATTAGCAATAAGGTTCGATTATTTTGAAATGAAACATTTATTTTATATATAATTATATAAACAATAATTAATAAACATAAAATATAATATTTTTAGGGGAAGAGTAAGACATGGACGTCATTTCACTTTTAAATCAATATTGGATGATACAGCTATTACACTGGTGGCTGAATCTGTTACTGATACACAAGTAACACCTCTTAGGCCTTACGCATTACTTGGGAACTGGTTGCAAGTATGTATATAATAATTAAAACAATAATAGCTTATTAAATGCAGAACTGTTATATATAAGAGCAGCTAAAGTTCTTTATAAATGGGTTATTTAAGAGTGAATGGTAATTTATATGGGATATGTTTTTAGGTTGTATAGATGGATTACCATTTCAGTTTCAGTTAAATATTCATTCTGCGATTCAAGCTATTCTCGAATGTCATTTTATGCTATTTGTTTACATTTATTTACATTCTCGAAATCTCTGTAAACAGCAAAGGTGAATAATATACAAAGAAAAACCTTGATTGGAATTTGACTCAAAACTCGAAATGATGATAATATGGATAGATAGATAGACTATATAAATTCAATATCTCACAATTTATGTCATTATGTTAATACATAATAATGATATAACAATATTAATGGAATTTATTAACAAGGAAATTTAATGATATTCAATAATTAACTTGAATTAAAAAATTTAGTTATATACAGGGTGTACCAGAACTCAGTCATGCAAAACCGGGATGATAGTATTGATCATAACTATCATAGAAAGAAATTAAAAAAAAAAAAATCTCTCATAATTTTAAAATCATGAGCTTCTAAGTGCTATCTAGAACTGTGGTGAAAATGTGACTATTTTTTATTTGTTGGTGTTAAATTTTATTTATTTGAGTTAATTTTTATTTTCATTTAAATTTTGGAACTGTAACCGTGAATAATATTTTTAAGACCACTTTCTGAACATTTTGGCATACCTCACAATCAGAAAAAATGGTGATGTGTGTATGTGTTTTGTATGTTCGCATTTTTTCGCTCGATTTGATTGGTTCAAAAAACATTGAATTCCTATTGATAGGGAGATGTGCTGATTAGTTTTTGGCAAAGGCAGGTCTAGTCGTTACGGAGATATCGAGCAAAGAGTGCTGAAAATAGAAGGCGAGATTTTGAGAGAACGGCGCATTCGATTTAAATTATCTAAAAAACATTCAGTTCGTAATGATAGGGAGAAGTGGTGATTAGTTTTTGGCAAAGGCAGGTCCAGCTGTTTCGAAGATACGGAGCTACATGTACAAAAAATGGCAGTTTTTGAAAGAACTAAGCATCCGATTTGAATGATTCATAAAATTTTCTGCTAGTGTTGACGAAACAATTGCTTTTGGAAAAAAAATTGTTTGTATATCGAAAATATTTCAGATTTTAATTTTAATTTTTGCTAAAGTCTTAAAGCTCACTTACATACTTTAAATAAATAATTTTAACTTTGCAATTCAGTTTATATAATTGTTATAAATATTAGACAATGTTACAGGATTTATTTATAATAATCTATTTGAAAATATTTTATATTCCTCGAACATTTCTATACGGTACGGAAAGTTCCAGCAATTTGCCTTAAGACACAATGCCATACACTACTAGTTTTTTTTTATTGACTTTGTATACACGTACATTAGTCATATACATTTTATAAGTTATCTTTACAATTTTATTTTATTTCATTGTATATAATTATATAGCACACCATATATTCTTTTTTTTTGGCAATAATGTTATAAAATTGGTTGGGAGGGAGATTTTTTGCCTTACTATCTTCCTCCATAGTTCTTGCTTACCCTTTTCCCATTTTTTGTACTCCATAATGGCGTGCTCAGCATCCGCCCTAGTCGCACCACCCAAGCAATAGTAATTAGGATTGGTATTGATACCAATTCTACTCAGGTGAAACGGAGTTTATGTATGGTTAAAGCTTAGTCTACATATTGTGAATTCGTCATACCATGGTCTCATAGGTATTGCTTCTTTACCTTTGATCTGTTTTGAAACATGATAATCCAATTTCAATTCTTTGCGAATCTGTGCTGTGCAGTAATTTTTTATGTCTTTATAGAATAATTCATCTGAAAATATGATTTATGCTAGTGCATTTTACTTACAATCTGTTCAAATATTTGCAAACTCCAATGTGCGAGACAAAATTATTTGAACAGAATGTTATTTTTAGGTTTTGATTTTTTTTCTCGAAATTTCAAATACTATCTTGATTAAATTTGCCCACTTTTGATGAAACTTGCTAACATACTTCAGTACATTTTTTTTAAGGAGGACCTTTCAAAGTAGACCGAAAATTTATATTCATTGTTCAACAATAGGGTTAATAAAATTAGTTAAAATTAACCACAATAACCAAAAAAATTGTCATACTTTTACCAAGGCTTTAGGTTGCACTTAAAAGCTCATAATTTCTAAACGGGAGAAGTTTTTCAGGATAGTTAAGGTCAATACTATTACCTTGATTCGGCTCGACGTCAACACAGAATGTTTAAATGTGTTTAAAAGCTAATGGCTGGTGGGGATGGAGGACCTTTATAGAAGACTTTATCTAAATTAATTATGAAAAAAATATCTATCTAATTATCTATTTATCTAATTATTGATGTATATTTGATTACTGTGTCTTCAGGTCCTCATACCTCATGATTTAGAAGTTGAAATGGTTGAAGCTTTTGATGTTTTGTCTCATCCGGAGAAATTGGAACTGCCGAAGACCTTTTCATGGCCAGCACACAGATTAGCATTTACAATCATGTCAGATGTTCTCTAGCAGGAATAATAAAACTTCAGCAATTGTTTGGTAAAATCAGAGCATTTGTTATGTACTGTGATTATCAAAATTAGATTGATATTTTTATACTCATGACGATCAATATACTTATATTGCTGTTAATATAATATAAATGTTCCAACAGTATAGGATAAGCAAAATTTATAAATTTATTCTGCATAAAACTAATTTTATGCAACTAATTACATTGACAATAATCATGTTATTTATTTTTTTAATGTTTATGAGAAATATTTTTGTTTTCCATAATCTATATCATAAACTATTGTGGATAAAACGGTAATAATGATTATGTAAACTCATACATTGCAAATAGATTCAAAATTTCTGATGATTAGGGTGATTTGTGGCTGCAAATGGATGATCAATTTATGCATATCAATGAGACATTTTTACTATTTCGGATGTGCTAGTTTTAAAAAATTCTTTAAGATGACAAGTCTCATCAACTTCAATGCCCAGAAAACACATTTTGTTTTCAATTAAGTATTCACATTTTACCTTAAAAAGTGCCTTAAATGTATGAGATATAGATATTTGTTGATATTTTCATTGGCCAATTTAAGATATCAAATTTTATAAACGTTTTGAGCTGTTAAAAATACTTAATACATTATTAATATTATTGTGTATGAATATGATTTATATGTAAAGAGTAATTGAACAATGAAAGCTAAAGATGAAAAATCGTATTATTTTACAGATTTATTTGCAGGTGGTTAATGCTTAGTGAGATAATTTGGGATTAGACAATCATAGATTAAGAGAAAATATGATAATGCAAATATAGTTGACTTTTCAATCTAGATTAAATTTAAATTTTATTATATGAAAGAAAAAAAAAACAGACAGATAATTTGACTAATATTATTATTAAAATTTTTAAACATAACAAAATTCGGTTCAGAGTAATTAAAAAAACACCAATCTTACAATTACGTGAACAAATAAAACACTATTTTTATTTCAGTGAAAATTTACGTTATCTACTGCATCTTTCGTCTGAGTATTTAATTATTTTTATGACCTGGTATCATATTCTGTATCATCTGTGCTTCTTGTTGTTGTTTTGCTTAGGTCTTCGGTTTGGGAATCAGTGATTTCGTCTTCATCAACTTTAATTTATAATATGTTTTAGAAAATATTTTAATCATATTATTTATTAATATAGGTACCTTCTTTTATAGCTGATAAGGGTCCTGTTCTAAATTCTCTGTTATCTGATAATGGAAAACATTGTTATATATAGCACATAATAATATTTCAAGTAAGTGAAACTGAATTTAAGTGTATGTGTTGTACTTATATATATATATATATATACATATACATATATACATATATATATATATATATATATATATATACACATACATACATATAAATAGAATAGAATAGAATGTAATCGATATCGTTGTATTTACCTTCTGATGAAGATGAAACTTTCATTAACTCCATTTCTGATAATGGAAAACAACGTTATATGTAGCATATAATAATACACACATATATATATATATATATATATATATATATATAATAGAATATAGTCAATATGGTTGTATTTACCTTCTGATGAAGAAGAAACCTTCATTAAATCTGTATCTATAATGGAAAACAATGTTATATGTAGCATGTATATATACATATATATATATATATATATATATATATATATATATATATATAGAGAGAGAGAGAGAGAGAGAGAGAGAGAATATAATCAATATGGTTGTATTTACCATCTGATGAAGATGAAATCTTCATTAATTCCGTTTCTATTTGTTTAATTAGTTTCAGATCATCTAAAATAAGTATTATATATTATATTATTATCATTTATATATATATATATATATATATATATACATAAAGTTATAAGTTTATTTAAAGTCTGTACGTTTTGGCTACTGTTCTCACTTTAATTCAAAGGAATAGTATTGTATTTTTGTATATGATATTATATAATTAAAATAACGCGAACGGTATTATTCCACTGTGCATTATATTTGAATATTTCAATTCTTATAGATCAATTATTTTTTATGCATTATAAATATTATTAAATGAAATGAAATGATTTATATGAGGGAACTGAATGGGGCGTTCACTAGTGCCAGAACCGCCGGTTTTCAAAATTTAGGACTCGGAAATTTTGATGTCAAAGTTGTGCCGAATTCTGGAAAACTAGATAATAATGAGTTAGTGAAGTACAATGTATCAAATTTAACTAGTTTAGATGATTGAACTATAATAGGAGAAAACCGGTTTTGAGACCCGATTGGGGTATACAATTCAACCCTTTTTAAACATATATTATAAAATCTATACTCACTCTCAGGAGGTTTGTCAACTGAACCTTTTAATATTTCACTTTCTATTTTTCTAACGATGCTCAAGGCCTCTGAAAAAGTTAATATTGTTATTATTAATATTTGAAGTAAAATGTGAAATATCGAATCAGGTTGTTGGCTTGATTCGAATAATTCGAGTTGGAACATTACTATATATCTTTGCTAATATAAATATAAATATAAATAATATTGAGCGGATTAAACCCTGTTAGGTTAAAAGGTTGACAAAAGTCGAATATTTTTGCAAACTTCAAATTAAATGATTTCTACCATTGGAATACCTTAGAAAAAATGGATGTATGTGTGTGTGTGTACGGGTACAAATTTTCGTCGACTATTTCGTAAACACGGTTCAACCGATTTGAATGATTTAAAAAAACTTTCGATTTCTATTGATAAGGAGACGTGCTGATTAGTTTTTGGCAGGTCTAGCGGTTTCAGAGATCGAGAAAAACAAGTAAAAAAAAAGTTCCATTTGATGGTGATCATTACAATGATCATAATGATATGTGTATACACATATGCATATCAAATGATCAGATATTTTATAGAGGTTTTAATAATACGTATAAATTTTGTTTTCATTTTTAGTGGTTCCGTAACATTGTACATCCGATAGACTGCGACGCGGCGCTAACGCGCTTCGGTATTTTGCTTCTACGCACCTAAAGCAGCGCGATTGTTTTGAAAAAAAGTTCAAAAATTTCAAAATATAAAAAAACCTTTTTTTTTTTTAAAAAGTCAACATTTTTCAAAAATTTCAAAATTCTCAAAAATTAATTTTTTTCAAAGTTAAAAAGATTGAATCTTTTTTTAAAAAAATAGTTGTTACGGGAAGTTTCAGTAATTTGCCTTAAGACACGATACCGTACACCACTAGTTTAAGTTTTTGTTTTTGTGACAAAATAAGATTTGCTAATTTCAAGTTTTCACGATTTTCCAAGTCATTCTGAGTCATTTGACATAAAAATTGGAAAAACTGTGGGAGCCAAAATTCGACTTATTGTCGATTTTGCTCGATCACGGCTGCACTGATTTTAAAAATTGAATGCTTAACAAAAACTTTAAAATAATAGATCTTCGAATAGTGGTCAATTATAAAGCGCTTAAGATATTGAATATCAATTAGAAATCTTTATGGATTAATTCTAAATGAAAAGCGAAAATTGGTTGAAAATTCTATCGCGACAGTTTGAAAAGTGGCTAAATCTGATATCTTATTTATTTAGTCGATTATTTACACATGCCGGGAAGTTTTTGCAATTTGCCTCAAGGCAAATTAACATCTAGTTAAAGTTTCAATTTAATTGTTTATTAAATGTGTTGCGCATGAGTAGTAATTTGATTGTTGTGTTATTATTGAAATAAAAAGTTAAAAATTAAATATGCCCGTAAGCTACATACCACTAGATTCCGTTTCTATAAACGTTGACGATTTACTACCTAAAAATACATTAAGGTTAATGAAAAATATCTTGTATAGAATTTCATTTTGTTATGTTCATTACTACATGATTCCCCCGTAAATCCAAATTTCTGCAAATCCGTCATTGTCGAGAACACTAATTCGTGTGCAACTGCAATGTGTTTGGATTGTCTCTGTTTTAATTGATCCCTAATTAATTGCTTTTCTATTTCTGGAGCTATAAACTGATGTACACATTCTGTTATCATAGTGATGTCGTCCAAATCAGACCTAAAATTGAAAAAAATGTTTGAATACCAATTCAAACATGATAGCTAATAAAAGTATAATTGTGACTACAATCAATATCAACTGTTATTTTACTTAGAAAAATATTAATTATCAATTAATTTACAACGTATTTCTGTATATACACACACGTACATCTACACACACACTCACACTCACGCACACACACATATTGTAATAATTTTTCAAAGTATTTTAGAATTACTGAATGATGACACATATCAAGTGTCGAAATGTACTAATTGAATTATATATCAAAATCAATCAATCAATTCACTTTGAAATCGATTGGAAGCTTTATGATTCAAATATATAAATAAATATATGAATAAAAATTTGGAAGGCATAACGTAAAAAAGGAAAATATTTTAGAAAAAATAATGTTTTCGACACATTTCGAAATATATCTTCATGTTAAAAAATACAAATCATAATAATAAACATAATTTACACAAATGGTACTTGCACGTAACACTAAAAGCTTAGTTACTGCTTCCAAGATTTTCTTAATATAGTTTAATATCATAATTAATTTAGTTATTAAAATTGACTTACGACAGTCCTTCTCTTTCAGTTTCATCTAGCTTTAGGGCCAAATGAGTTACATAATCCTTGGCTTCTTGTGCGGATAACTTATCGATACCATCGACTATAATATCGTTGAGGTATAAATCGATAATGTCTTGATGGATTTTCACATTATCCTGATTTAATTTTTACAATTTTAGTTTTCTTTCATTTAAATGTTAAAAATAAGATATATATATATATATATATATATATATATATATATATATATGATTTAGTTGTTGATTTTGATGTTGAGATATATGAGTAAGTTCTTGTGGGGCGATACATCAAAGAATAAAAAGCAAAGATTTATAAATTAAACTTTAATTCCAAACGTTTCGACATTCAATTTAATGTCATCATCAGTGGATATTAACGTTGGTAGGTTACATCTAGAGAGTGTACACAACACTAGAAATTAGCACTAACATTTATACAACAACTTGTCAACACCATGCATTTTTTATAATTTTTTGTATGATGTAAAAAGAAAAATGATAATATTATTTGAACAAAAATGTGAGTATAGTTCAACTATACTCACATAATTTTATTTGAACAAAAATGTGAGTATAGTTGAACTATACTTATATAGTTCAACTATACTCACATTTTTGTTCAAATAAAATTATCATTTTTCTTTTTACAGCATACAACAAATTATAAAAAATGCATGGTGTTGACAAGTTAGTTGTATAAATGTTAGTGCTAATTTGTAGTGTTGTGTACACTCTCTAGATGTAACCTACCAACGTTAATATCCACTGATGATGGCATTAAATTGAATGTCGAAACGTTTGGAATTAAAGATTAATTTATAAATCTTTGCTTTTTATTCTTTGATGTATCGCCCCACAAGAACTTACTCATATATATAGATATATATATATATATATATATATATATCTCCTAATTACGTCCCTGCGTCTAGTGCGATCCTGCCATAACTACTATGAAAATTGTTAATGCGCACGCATTCGACTATCCGATATTTATGGTATAAAAGGTGACCAGAATCTTATCAGAGTCTTTTCCATCTCAATAAGCCATGGCATACGGATCTTAGCAATAAATACTGAAGCCTGTCAACAAATATTCAATAATGAAGTTATGCAAATACATTTAATAAAGTTAGGCTTTTTGGTGGACAAATTGTTGAATGGTCTCGTAATATCAATTGCTTGAATGCTCATGTTGTTGCGACAGGTAGCTAAATACATATAGTTATTTTGCTTTGGCTTATATCGTCAAATCGGAACATATGTATATATATATATATATATATATATATATATATATATATATAGATTTATTTATTTATTTCATTGACCGTGCTATAAAAGAAATTCTGATTGGCTTCTTCTTAGTCTTCTTACAATTAACTCTTCGTTGCGTATAGTCAAAATTATTATTTTCATTTAGTTTTTTCGAAATAAATATTCCTTATTTTTTTGTGAACATGGTTGTGAATTATTATTAATTTTTGTTTTTTTTGTGTTTGTATCTAAATAATTTGTGTGATTCATCCACTGAAGAAGAGTCAAAATGGAAAGTTTCTTAAACTAAGATATATTTTAAGAAATTATATAGTTCTTTTTATTATGTGAATAGATGCCTGTTTAAGCAGAATTTTGTTTAATCAACATATTATTACCAACTGGAAAAACCATCAACTACATATATAACATTATTTGTTTCCTAAGCAGCAAATTCAAATTAGCAACAAAATTTTTTGATGGTAGTAATAATTTACAAAGTTTTGGAACTAGTTATGTTGCATCATCAATCTTTGCATCAAGAACCAAATATATTAAATAAAATAATAAACAATATAGTAAAAACAAATAAAAGCATGATTTTTGTTATAAATCTCTAATACCATCAATATTTAAATTTAATTAAAGAATATTATAATTGAGAAACAGAACTGATGATCCATCATCAAAAAAAACATTTGTGAATTATTAAATTTTAATTATTTACAAGTGCTGTCGTAATAAATTATAAAAAATAGTGACATGGCTTCTAGATAATGACACAATGGTAAATCATTTTTGCTTTTACCTAAATAAGGGTTTATGGTAGGTGAAAATTTAGGGCTATTTGTGTTTTTTATTATGATTTATAAATAAATAGTAAAATAAAATTTTATCTAAATCAACCATCAAATATTTTCGGAGAAGTATTGCGACGAACAACATGACACGAGAACTAAGTAAATGAATATTTTTGACAAAATACCAGATCATTGTTATATGCCGTATTATCTTGGTGAAAAATTTACCTATGTAATTTATATTTTGCGTTGGTTGAGTATCTTAACTAATATTTTAAAATTCTTTTAAAATAAAAAAATTGAACTGTACCGGGGGGACTGTTTGCTCAATTAAAAAGGACCAGGTGACAAATTTTTGAAAAACAGCAAAAAAATACATTTTTACAATTATGAATTAAGTAGCTGGGAGTTTTACTGAACATAGTCAGATAGTTCTTTGATTGATATGTGTTATTTGTTGTGATATAAATAGTTTGGTTTTCACAACTTTATTGCTCAGTCAAATTGGACCTTTGTGCCCCGCCTTTTCCGAATTATATATATATATATATATATATATATATATTAGGGTGGTCTTTAAAATGGTCATTTTCGAATTTCCTTGTTCCCAGGGGCTCAAATGGTTCCAAATAGATAAAAAACAATTCTCTGAAAGTTTTAACTCTTAATATTAACGTTTAGATAAAGCACAATTCAATCAAAGTTTTGTATGGAGAGAGCATGAAAAAAATTTTGAAAATTTAAAAAAATGTTTTATGTATAACTTAGCGACAAATGAATAAGTTTTATTCATTTATTTGTGTGTTAAATTACACCTAAAAAACATTTTTAAAATTTTTGAAATTTTTTTCATGCTATTTCCATACAAAACTTTGATTGAATTGCACTCTATCTAAACGTTAATATTGAGCTAAAACTTTCAGAGAATTGTTTTTTATCTATTTGGAACCATTTGAGCCCCTGAGAGCAAGAAAATTCGAAAATGACCATTTTAAGGACCACCCTAATATATATATATATATATATATATATATATATATGTTTATTACAATATATTCGAAATAGATCTATTTAGTTTCTATTTCTATAGTTTCTATGAATATTGATTTTTTTATTGCGGTCCGTCCAAAGTTACCACTTGGCCTAAATGTACCCATGAGTTTGACATCCCTGATTTATAATATATAATGATTTTCTATTTAGAAGCAAGTGCTACGTAAATTACTCTTCAAAAATATCAGAAAATATGTTGAATAAATCATAAATGTATTATTATGGTGCAAATATATTTTTACCATTCTGTATATGAAATCGGCTTCGCTCCTTCTGGATTCTTCCTTCTGTCGTTGTCCAGCTTCCCTCGCCTCTCTGAGCCACCTCATGCGTTTCGCAAGCATGCGAAGAGCGTACGTTGATTGCTCGTCTTCCAAACGCAACACTTCTTTGTGCAGGAGATCGACCATTTGGCCAAGGGAGCTCGCCTCCACGAACAGGGCAGGTTGGCGTATCTTACTGACCTAGTAACATACAAGGGGAATTATTCAAACAAGGTGTATGCAACTTCCCAATTATACAAATAACTAGTGGTGCATGGCATCGTGCCTTAAAAAAATTGCTAATACGATTTAATTAAAGGAATTTTTAAAATCTACCAAACAGAAAGAAAATTGCAATGTATTCGAACCAGCTAATTGGCCAAACTCAAACCAAACTAGTGGGGTGGTATAGCATCATGCTTTAAGGCAAATTGCTGGAACTTTCCGTACCGTAACGAAATGTTCGAGGAATACTGATTGTTTTCAAATAGATTATTATAAATATTGTAACTTTGTCTAATATTTATAAGAATTATATAAACTGAATTGCAAAGTTAAACATATTTGTTTAAAGTACATTAGAACTTTAGTCAGAATTACGATTAAAATCTAAATTATTTTCGATATGCAAAAAAAAACAAATTTTTTTGAAAAAAAAAATTGAAAAAAAAATTTTGAAACAAAAATTTTTTTTTCAAAATCAATTATTTTGTTAAAACGAGCAGAAAGTTCTTTGAATCATTCAAATCGGACGCTTAGTTCTCTCAAAAACTGCACATTTAGCTCCGAAATGGTTAAGACTGTCTTTGCCAAAACTAATACCACTTCTCCCAATCATTACTAATTGAATGTTTTTTAAATCATTCAAATCGGATGCTCCGTTCTCTCAAAAACTCGATTTCTATTTTCTGCACTCTTTGCTCCGTATCTCCGAAACGGCTGGACCTGCCTTTGTCAAAAACTAATCAGCTCTTCTCCCTATCAATAGGAATCGAATGTTTTTTGAACCATTCAAATCGGTTGATCCGTGCGCCCGAAAACGTGGACGAAAAATTGTATCCATACTTACATACACACAAACACACACACATCCATTTTTTCTGAAGTATGCCAAAACGTTCAGAAACCTTCAAAACGTCGAGAAATGTAAAAATTTTCAATTTCGATTTTTGGCCCATTACAATAACTTACCCTACGGGAAGTTAATTATTCAAACCAGGTGTATGCAACTTCCCATTTATACAAATTCTAGTGGTACATGGCTTCGTGGCATATCGTACCGTAATTTAATTTTTTTCTTTAAAATTTGTTGATAACTTTTAAAATATTAACTTTATTACTTTTTTGAGAATTTTGAAATTTTTGAAAAAAAATAACTTTTTGAAAAATTTTATTTTTTTATTGGATATCCAAAACCTTAACCTGCCTTTCCAAGTCCCAAAATTTAATTAGATCTTTGTATCATCAATACAAATGTTTTTTGAATCATTCAAATCGAACGCTCCGTTCTCTCAAAAACTGAATTACCATTTTTGGCACTTTTTGCCCCGTTTTTTTTGAAACGGCAGAACTTGCCTTTGCCGAAACTAATCAGCAAGTCTTCCCTTAAATACTGATCGAATGCTCTTTTTATCATTCAAATTGGTTGATCCATGTTCCTAAATGTTGACGAAAATTTGTATCCGCACACACGCACACATACATATATTCATTTTTTCTAAGGTATACCACAATGTTCAAATAACGTAAATATACGAGTATATAAAAAATTTCATTTTTGATTTTTCTGAGATTACTGTAACTTACCCTACGGGAAGTTAATTATTACTGACTCTTGAAATCAAGTATGCCTAATTAGCGATTAACATTTGCACCTATTTGTCATGCCTACAGATGAAGCCAACAGTTAATTACTGAAGATTTGTGGTATATATCTTGAATTTTTAGCTTTCCAAAAAAAAATTGTTTTCGCCAGAAGATCGTACTTGCCAATTTAATGTTTTCTCGACGTTTCAAATCATTCTTAATCGTTTGAGACTAAATTTCGAAAAATTATTTATGTGCATATGTTAGCCGATTTTTGACTTTTTTGCCCATTTTTCCCAAAAATTTTCAACCCATTTGATCTAACTCGATGATTGATCGAGTTGATTAATTTTGCTCGATGATAGGCCAAGCCGTTTTTTTATAATTATATGAAAAATATAAAATTTATTGTCTACGTTGTAGCCAAACACCCTGAATCTTTTTAACAATTCAAAAATTGTTCTAAAGATACTGGATGAAAATCATGGCGATCAGTTATTGGTAAAGATCGGCCGTGCCGCTATACTTTGTAATTAATTCCTGAACTTTTTGTTGCGTTTCTAATGAATCTTAACATGACCGCCGGGTTGAAATATTATGAGCCTTTGAAAACCAGAAAAAGATTGCCACCAAAATTATATGTTTGAAGCTAAAAATTTATTTTTTTCTGATCGAATTTGTATCTACAAAGATCTATTAGAATCTAGGTATCCAACCTTTGTAAATGTCATCAAATGAATTGATAAACAATAGATCTTATCCCATTTTTGACTGAAGTATATTGTTAAATGATATCGACCAGGATTTTACCATGAACCATCTTTATTGCGATCGGTGTTTTTGAGATTGTAAATAAACAGAGTAGAATAGATATTCAGAAATTGTTCGAATCGCAAAATGACTGAAACCATCTTAGAAAAAATGTTAAATTTCCAACATGTTGAAAAAGTGACTTCAAACAACACTGAAAGCATGATATTTTATTGGAAATATTTTAGTGAAGGTATAATCCTTTGCACTCCGAGGGTCTTTTTTCTTATGGGTGTGGTTACTTTGCGCCATTTTTGAGTTCAACCGTATGAAACAGAAATTTTGTTTTACTAAAAGAAGTCATGATTTCATCAATGAATATTGATATATTACGAATTCATTTTGGTTTTTATTAACTTTTGTTTAAGAAAGCTAGTGCAACAAACGCATTCGTCGCAACAGCGGTCCCTATAAAGTGCACAGGGGTTAATAAGGGCAAAAGAGCTTTATGAACTTTGTTGTTCGTCTATGGTAGTAAATCTTGATTTGAAGAGCCATATTGCTAATACGATTGAATTAAAGGAACTTTTTAAATCTACCAAACGAGAGAAAATGGCAAAGTATTCGGACCGGCATATTGGTCAAACTTCAAAATAATTTCGATTTTTTATTTATCTGTTTTCTATTTTAACCATTCCATCTTGAAAATTTTTGAATTCCTGTATTCAGTATATATATACATCGTTCATACATCTACTTACCCCTTGAAGGTATCCAAGTTGGAATCTCTTCTGTTTTCCAACTATTCTTCTAGACGGCACACGTGAGAGTAAAGGATTATGTGTAGATCGTAATTCAGTAATGGTCTCCATTGCTGTTGCTCTTCCATTAAACATCTAAATGAAAATTCAAGACTTTATATTTATGGGCAGTATTAATTCTTAAGGTTGTGGAAATATTTTATATAATCAATTTATATGCACTAAAAATATTTCACGCATTGATTCCAAATTATGTAAATATAGTCCAGACATTATAGCAAGTTCACCTCGGAATTCGAGATACCCAGCTGTAAGTCTGTAAATACTTGTATATTGACACCCTAAAGTTGTCTCAAAACCTGCATGTGGTATTGACACTCTACCATATGTAGGTTTTGAGACAACTTTAGGGTGTCAATATACAACTATTTACAGACTTATAGCTGGGTATCTCGAATTCCAAGATTCTTACCTAATTTAAGCTTAAATGACTGGACTAATATATGACCAATATCATTGTACTTACAAATCCATGTATGGCTCTTCCTTTGAGAAGTTTTTGGAGGAGGATGATTGCCTGGTACTCATTTTCATCTTCATCAGATATTCGTGTAACTTCAGGAGTACAAGCGACATGAGGCGGTTTGACAATTTTTGTCAGAAGATCGATGCAGTATGTAGTATGTTTCTTTTTATTGTCGGATAGAGAATGAACTTCTACAAAACGAGATAGAAATTTAACGTTTTTAACGCATAAGGTTGAATATATAGATGTTAGTTTAACTTTTCAATAGCATTTTTTGTGACATATTTTTATGATGCTTTCCAAATGATACAACTAACAAAAAATTAATTTGCCATTTGAATTTAAGCTGAGTGAATCCGACACACATATGAATTCAAGGTACTAACAAGGTACCTAAGTTGATACAAAGTATAATTTCTTTCCTTAAATGACTAGATTTTTCAATGGTTAATAGAAGGCAACCTAATAGTTGTCCTTCTCTCATTTCAATAACATTACATTTTTCAGAATTTACTTAGAAATATGTTTATGGTCTATATTTTTATATAAAAATGGGCATGATCACTACTTACAGAGGTGACAGAACGACTGATCTTAATATTTCTATTATATTTTATTATTCTATATAAATTTATGGCATGGTTCTTACTGACGACTTCCGATTGCATAATTTCCAGATTTTCATCTGTCCAAAGATTTATTGGTACTCCTACCTCACGAGCGTATTCGGCATACACGGACACAGGGTCGGCGAACCCTGCAATATCTGGCATTGTGTCGAAGGTGGAAAATTCTGAAAAAAATGCAATTTATGACGAATTCAGGATTATAAATTCATATATCGGCATCATCAATTTTCGGTAAGCAGAGTTAAAAATTGATCTTAAGGGTGATAATTAGTGTTGGTAAATGATGGTCAAAAGAGATCTGGTCTAGTTTAACTTTTATAGTTTAATTTTTCTCTAGTTTAATTTCTCAAATTGCACTCATACCTCATTTTGAGTTTTTTCGTTTTTTTTTAAGTTGCGTTGATACTTAATTAGTACTAATTTTTTGGTTTATTATGTATTTAGGGTTTTTCATGTTGAAATAAAATCTTAAAATATGATAAGTTGTTGAAGTATAAAATATCTTTAAAATTTAAAAAATGGGCCGCGCTTTAAGGACATACAAGCGCGTCTTTGTTTCCCATAGTTTTGCATATAAGTCTGTTTGAAAGATACCAATTGAAAATGGCAATTATTTATTTTAGTGAAACGAAAACATAATTTTTAAAATAAACAATTTTATACAAATAGCTAAGTTTCAATTATTATTCATTAAGTCTATCATTTACACGTATCGAGAAGTTTATGCAACTTGCTTTGCAAATTTGCAAAGCGCCACTTACACTTGCTTCACGGTTTATTTTTTGTTGATTGAACATTTTTGTTTCTGTTTCGTTTTTTAATAAAATTTTATACTATTTTTATATTTTTACTGAATATTTACTTTTTAAACTTTTTGTAAATGTTGTATTTTAGTAACCCTGAAACTTTTCTTCGATTTACCGTAGGGTAAGTTATTGAAATGGGCCAAAAATCGAAATTGAAAATTTTTACATTTCTCGACGTTTTGAAGGTTTCTGAACATTTTGGCATACCTCAGAAAAAATGGATGTGTGTGTGTGTATGTTTGTATGGATACAAATTTCCAGTCACATTTTTGGGCGCACGGATCAAACGATTTGAATGATTCAAAAAACATTTGATTCCTATTGATAAGGAGATGTGCTGATTAGTTTTTGGCAGAGGCAGGTCCAGCAGTTACGGAGATAAAGAGCAAAGAGTACAGAAAATAGAAATCGAGTTTTTGAGAGAACGGAGCATCCGATTTGAATGATCTAAAAAACATTCAATTAGTAATGATTGGGAGAAGTGTTTATTAGTTTTTGGCAAAGGCAGGCTTAGCCATTTCGAAGATACGGAGTTAAATGTGTAAAAAAATGGCAGTTTTTGAGAGAACTAACCGTCCGATTTAAATGATTTAAAGAACTTTCTGCTTATCTTAACAAAATAATTGATTTTGGAAAAAAAAATTTGTTTCAACTTTTCTTTTTTTTCGAAAAAAAATTTTTTTGTACATATATCGAAAATAATTCAGATTTTATTTTTAATTCTGACTATAGTTCTAATATACTTTAGACAAATAATTTCAACTTTGCAATTCAGTTTACATAATTCTTATAAATATTAGATAATGTTACAATATTGATTTATATCAATCTATTTGAAAACATTTAATATTCCTTGAACATTTCGTTACGATACGGGAAGTTCCAGCAATTTGCCTTAAGGCACGATGCCACTAGTTTTACATGGTTTTCTACAAACAGTTTTAATTTACTTTGCGTTGTGTTTTTTGGATGCAAAATTGTTACGGGTGTATTATTTATTTATTATCGTACCTTCATAGTTTAGATGCTTTGCTTTTTTGTTTCTGAGTGTTGCATGCACACGTTTCGGATGTTGACCATTCCTCATCAACGGAGCATAACCCTCAGCGCAGTAGTTGACGAACTCCTTATACACATCGCTCTTTGGAAATCGCGGATTGATCTTGTCTCTTGCATATCTTAATTTGCGAATCGCTAAGAATATAATTTTTTATTTCAATCGACTTACTTTAACGTAAAAGTAGAATACTCCAGTTATTGGAGAAAAAACTAGGGTGTTGCCTCCATTTTTTTTACTGTGAACCGATTTGCAAGAAATTTTGCAATAAGGCTCACTACCTCTAACTTCAAAAGTGTAAATGATTATAAGTCCGCACCCACCCGTTGCCACCCCTTCTCGCTGGTGCAATTTCTATTTCTAAATAACCTCGGATGTCGATAGGTCTAACTCAGATAAACAAACGTTCCATAACGTTTATCAAGAAACTCAATACTTTTCAACTTATTGGTAATGAAATATTTGGATTTTTTATGTTTTTGTCGTAAACAAATATCTCCAAAGGCTAATAATTTGATATGCTGATAAAGTTTTATCAAAAATTTTGTATTAATATAATTGTATCAGATAAAAAAAACTGAACAAATCGGTCTTTTATAAAGCGTTCAAACAATAAGTGCAAATAAGTGCGTTTTATGCAACATTAATTAAATTTTATAATTAAACTAATTTTCACAGGCCTATTAGTGCAGTAAACGGAGAGGAAAAAAGGGTAAAACCTCTGAATTTTTTTACTGTGCTCCGAATTTCATGAAATTTTGGAATTAGGTTCATCTTACCCTCAAATTCAAAAGTGAAAACAATTCGGGTTGCGCCATCACCCCCCGGGGGGATGACCGCCCTTCTAAATTGTGTACTTACATTTTTTTAAAATAACGTCGGAAATCGATAGAAGAGCTAATTATAATAAAAAAATGTCTTCTATAGTTTTTCAAAAAAACTAATACTTTTCAAGTTACTGGCCACTAAAGATTCATATATTTTTGGCGTTTTTCTTCGTCTTTTTACAAATATCTCCTAAATTATACATTTTAACGAAATTCATGTAATTAACAAAATAATGTCAATAAAAATCTTAATAAATCGGTATTACATAAAGTGTTCTAGGAAAAATATTAAGCAAGATTTGAAAGAGCAAAGTCGTTTTTTATTTCGTTCAAGATTTAATTGTTGTATTTAAAGCCATCTAGTGTCGAGGTTTTACATTTTATGCATTTCGGTGAAATTGGGTTTTATAGTGCTCAACATAAGCTTTAAAATGAGTGCTGTTACAAGTTTTTTGCGTGTAAAATGAGTGAGCTATCATGCAAATAAGAAGGCATATACGAAGTTTTTTTCTTTTAAATCATATGGTTTAATGAGCGCCATTTCCACCAGAATTAAAGTAATTCACATTCCATCTAGAATTCACTTCATTATAGACATCTTGATGGATTCTAGTAGATTCACTACTTTAGTACAAACTATTTTCAGAAAACTCACGATTTTATAAAAACTTTTTTTTTCATTTTTTTTAAAAATCGAAATTATTTTCATTATATCTCAAAAAGAATAAAAATACGTATAAAAGCTTATAGATAAAAATCAAAGGAATCTTTCTGGCTTATTATTGTTTTTTATTATTTTTCTTTCACACAAAAATTGACAGAGTTATGAATGTTTAAAGATTGCGCGGCCGCGCAAATTGGAAAAAAAAGTTTTTATAAAATCGTGAGTTTTCTGAAAATAGTTTGTACTAAAGTAGTGAATCTACTAGAATCCATCAAGATATCTATAATGAAGTGAATTCTAGATGGAATGTGAATTACTTTAATTCTGGTGGAAATGGCGCTCATTAAACCATATGATTTAAAAGAAAAAAACTTCGTATATGCCTTCTTATTTGCATGATAGCTCACTCATTTTACACGCAAAAAACTTGTAACAGCACTCATTTTAAAGCTTATGTTGAGCACTATAAAACCCAATTTCACCGAAATGCATAAAATGTAAAACCTCGACACTAGATGGCTTTAAATACAACAATTAAATCTTGAACGAAATAAAAAACGACTTTGCTCTTTCAAATCTTGCTTAATATTTTTCCTAGAACACCTTATGTAATACCGATTCATTAAGATTTTTATTGACATTATTTTGTTAATTACATGAATTTCGTTAAAATGTATAATTTAGGAGATATTTGTAAAAAGACGAAGAAAAACGCCAAAAATATATGAATCTTTAGTGGCCAGTAACTTGAAAAGTATTAGTTTTTTTGAAAAACTATAGAAGACATTTTTTTATTATAATTAGCTCTTCTATCGATTTCCGACGTTATTTTAAAAAAATGTAATTACACAATTGAGAAGGGGGGTCATCCCCCCGGGGGGTGATGGCGCAACCCGAATTGTTTTCACTTTTGAACTTGTGGGTAAGATGAACCTAATTCCAAAATTTCATGAAATTCGGAGCACAGTAAAAAAATTCAGACCTAAAACGCTCCGTTTACTGCACTATATAGTATTTTATGGAGCTCGGTTTGACTATCAACTCTATCGCCATGTAAACTTTCATCAAAATCCCAGAAGAGTAAACCTGGGGGTTCCCTTATAAAATTAAATTAGATATTTAAGAACAAAGTCATTTTTCTTTTTGTCTGAAATTTAAATTGATGTGTTCAATGCCATCTACTTGGATAGATAATAAATTTTTTGCACTCTAATGAAATAGCACTTTGTAGTGCTTGAAATAGCAATTAAAATGAATACTGTTAAGTTTTTTGAATATAAAATGAAAGCTGTAATGATGCAAATAGTAGTTTTGAACCTAATGTCCTTTTTTTGAATAATGGGTTTAAGTTCTATTTCCATTAAATTAAAATGAATCATATATAGAATATGATGAGCGTTCTGAATTATAGCAGTTTAGTCTAACAGTTACATGTTAGAGTTTTGCTTATTATATTATAATTATTATTATAAGATTTTATAAAAATCTATATTTTTGGAGATATTTGCAAAAAAGCTATGAGAAGCGTGAAAAAATTACTTGAAAAATTAGCTTGAAATGTGTTTTGGCTTTTTGAAAAACTTTATCGAACATTTTTTCTTTGAATTACGTTTTCTATATTGTCTTTGATATTCCAGGTTATTTCGAAAAACAAAGATGGTAAACTTCCTCAGGATGGGTGCGGAGATCTGATCATTTTTATTTTTAGATAAGAATACATTCATTTTCACGTTAAGGGTAAGATGAGCCTAATGACAAAATTTTATGTAAATCATCGGTTTACTGTGTAAAAGGTCCGATCAAAAACGATTCAATGACTGACTGCACTAGATGGAAGGATTATTTTTTTGAGTCACTCAATCTAAAGTGTTCAAAAGGAAGCTTGAGGGGGGAGTTAATCTCCGACTCGTACAATCTTAGGTAACAAAGTTACACATTCTTACCAATTGTTACAGTAGAATAGTAGAAACAATTTTGAATTTCCATACTTTGAGAAAAAAGTCTTATGCAAAAAATGTTGAATTATAGTGTAATAATTTTTCGAGCTCTGAAGTATGATAAATCTATAGGTATACTAAAATAATATATTTTGTCTTAAGGTTACTAAAGTAAATAGTCATAAAATAACCTCGGTCAGCATTTCGCTTGATTTGCACAAATTTCATATTTCTGTATACTTTCTTCTTTTCCCAAATTTCATTCAACTTGCGTTGGTGATAACTCCTAAATGATTCTTTGCGTTTTCTGTAAATTTCCATGACGAGTTGCAATCGATATTCTTGTATTTCTTCTATTTCCTATTTATAAATCATAAATTACCGCTATAATATATTTAACGAAAAAAACATATATAAATTAATGATATTGAATAGTCTTGCATAGAATGTGAAGACCGAATAGGAATTAAAGATCAAAAATCTAATTTTTGCTAATAATCATTATAATATACATATAAATTTATAATAAATAAATTATTATACGTTTTGGCAAAAACATTTCCATCATCAGTGATGTACTTTTTTCAACAATCACAAGTCAGCATATCAAATTTTATATTCATTATTTCAATATAAATTTAAACAAACATGTCTGTAATTATTATAGTATATATGCCTGTAAAATTCAACACATTGACCTGCGATACTAGAAAGTTAGTACACCATGATGATGGCAAGGTTCTTTCCCGAAATATTTGATGATTTATTTAAATAGTGCACTTCATTAAAATTATTCATTGCTCGTTTTACTCAATCTTTTCGCAACGAATGCCGTCCATGGACGACATCCACATGAAGTACTGTGTCTACGGATGTCGTTCATGGACAACATCCGCATAACGTGCTGTGTGTGCTGATGACATTTAAGATTCATCACTATGACTTAAACTATTGAGAATTTTTGCATTTCTCGACGTTTCAAAGGTTTCTGAATATTTTGGCATACCTTAGAAAAAATGGATGTATGTGTGTGTGTATGTGTGTGTGTGCGTGTGTGTATGTATGTGCGGATACAAATTTTCGTCGACGATTTCGGGAACACCGATCAACCGATTTGAATAATTCAAAAAACATTCGATTCGTATTGATAAGGAGACGTGCTGATTAGTTTTTGGCAAAGTCAGGTCTAGCCGTTCCGAAGATACGGGGCAAAAAGTGCCGAAAACGGTAACTCAGTTTTTAAGAGAACGAAGCGTCCGATTTTAATAATTCAAAAAACATTTTACTTGTATTGACAAGGTGAAGAAACGATCAAATTTTCATAAAGGCAGGTCTAGCGGTTTCGGAGATCTAATGAAAAAAGTAAAAAAAAAGCCATTTGGCGGTCAAAAATGATCATTAGACATATGCACATCAAATTATCAGATATTTTATAGAGATTTTAACAATAAGTATAATTTTGGTTTACATCCTATGGGTTCCGTACCAATGTTTACGCGTTAGACGTCGACGCGGCGCTTACGCGGTTTGATATTTCGTCTTTATGCAGTTAAAGCTGTACGGTTGCTTTAAAAAAAAGTTTAGATCTTTCAAAATATGTCAAAATAAAGAAAACATTTTTTTTTCAAAAAAAAAAAATTTAAAAAAAAATTTAAAAAAAAAAATAAAAAAAATTTTTTTTCAAAAAAAAGTAATTTTTTGTCTAATTGTTTGTCAAAAATCTTATTTTTTGGAAGTGAATTTTTTTCAAAAATGTTAATCGTTTTTAAAAAAATAATAATTTTTGGTACGGGAAGTTCCAGCAATTTGCCTTAAGGCACGATGCCTTAATTGCCTTAAGACAGAATTCCACTTACAGCTAGTATTCAATAGCTTTGGCATGATATTAGTCTGTTATCGGCAGTTTGGGCGTACTGTACTTTTCTTTCTTTCTGTATCTTTTAGTACTTTTGTCTTATATTTCTCTAAGATTCAGAAAATACTAAATTTGTAATTTGATTACAAACAAATCATATTCAGCTCCAATAATAGGGTCTGAATGATTTCACTAATAGGATATTTGACATCTCAATTAAAGGGAATAACCTTAAGTCTTATAGAGGTGTCGAGTTAACGAGGTCGAAGTAAAGTGATTACACAAAATACTTGCCTTTGCTCTGAAATTATACTGTTCAATTTCTATTTCCTCCAACAAGGCTTTGGCATTGAGGTCGTTGGATCCTGTCGCAGTCAAATAAATTTGTTCTTCCCATTCCCTGCGCATTCTTGCTCGGTGTAATAATTGTATTTCGTTCATACCAGCAGGGAGACCCTTTTCTGTAAAAAAATTATTTATCAAATAATAATTAATACTATTGCTAACCTATTCCTATTGAATTGTAGACTTTTTTAACATCCCGTAGGGCAAGTTATAGTAATCGCAAAAAAATGGAAAATGAAATATCTTATATATCTTTACATTTTAGGGGTTTCTGAACATTTTGACACACCATAGAAAAAATGAATATTTCCACTCTAAAGCAGCTATGCAGCGCGATTGCTTTAAAAAAAAGTTTAAAATTTACAAAAAAAAATCAAAATATAAAAAAAAAAAATTTTAAATCTTTCAAAAATCGAATTTTTTCAGTTTTGAAATTTTTTTTATTTAAATTTTAGTTTTCAGTAATTTGCTTTAAGGCACGATGCCATGCACCACTGGAATGACATTCAGTAATTTTGGTGACTAATGTGGAAAGTGTATTTTAAAGACGAAGAAATAATTATCGATCTAACAACAATTATAGATCTAAAAAAATAATTATAGATCTAAATTACATGTTGACTATGCTAAGCCTAAGTTTGTTCTTTTGAGTCTTTTGGGTATGTTTGAGGAAAGCAAATCTCTCGCAAGTTGATTTGGATGGTTTTCCAGTCTTGTCTCGTACTTGGATGCAAGACTTATGATTTTTTCTGTTACTATATATATATTGGAGTCTTGGTGGCTCAGCCAATTTAGGACAAACTTTGGTGCCTCTAATAATTTTCTGAGAATCCTATATTGCGGTTTTTGCAAAAATGTTCGTTGGTTTTATTTGCCTTAAAATTAGTCTAAAGCGAAATGCCTTATGTCCATATTGGTTTCAGGACTACTATATATACCAGAATTTTGTTGCAAATAGTTAGATTAAACTTTGGATTAAACTCAACAGTCAGTACGGTTTTTTGAAAATGAATTGTAGAATTGATGATTTTTCTTTGCACTATTTTGGTTACTTGAAATGTATCTATGTATTTATAGCTTATATTAAAAAAACATCTTTGAATTGATTGGTTTTGTTTATTTATCAAATTAAAAAAAATCTGTTGGCTCAAGAATGACGTTGCAGTTAGGGTTTATACAAAAGTAACATTTTAGAAAACCGGTTGTCGAATAGTAATTTTTCCAGAGAAAAAATTTGCTCGCGTGTTCTGTAATTCAAACTAAGGGACCTCCAACTTCCATACATTATGCTACTGAATCATACTCAATACTTTCAAAATGTCATGCATTTGCTGTGCATTCAGGCAGTTTTACACATAAACTGCAATGTCACTCGTGTATTATGAAGCTGTGTCAGAAAGACCCAGTTATTTAAGATCGTTTTTTGACATATGTGCGGTGTCTAGGTTAAGTTTTCTATCTGACAACCTGAAAAAAATGCCTGACAACACAACAACCACATGGCCTTTGACAATATTTAGAACTATTTTGCATGGAAAGTTCTACATAGCCTTGCCATATTGGTCTGTTATGCGGCAGAATCGGTCCCTAAAGTTATTGACTGAAGTTACTTACTGTTGAATTTTATCGATACTAAATTTTTCATGCAATTTAGTAAAGCAAAGAAATAATAGGTGACCAATATTAAACAACTTTAACCTTTCACCGCACGCGCGAATTTTTAACTAATATGATCTTACTTATCAACAAAACGGTAATTAGGGACTATCGATATTTGATCTATTTTTAGTAATAAAAACAGCTTTCATTTACGCACTTACATTATTTTTTAATTTATTTACTTATTTAAGTATACTTATCTAAGTATACTTATTTAAGTATACTTACTCCAAGCCAGCCATGCTAAAGTTAAAAGTTCGGGTTTTGTACCCGGTTGGACATGATATGGTGGATCCCAGGGATGTGTTTGGCAAGACGATTCCCTGAAATTGGATTATAAAAACATTGCACAAAGAATTTAGATTTTGGAATAAATTTTATTCTAAAACGAATCATTAATGATATTGTCAAAAAAGTGTGGAACATTCGTCCAAGTATCAGAGCAGTAAGTTTGAAACATTCGACCAAGAATCAGAGTAGGAAGTTATCTATATCACATTTTTTACCCTAAACAAATAAATGGTGAAAAGTTTGAAATATACAACTCTTTTTTTCTGAAAAACCCATAAGCTATAGTCAAAAACAATAAAATCATATTGCCATATTACTTTGGAAAATATACATGCGTTGAAGATGCTAGGTTGTGATATTTCCCGAATTATTGCTTGGACTTGTATAAATATAATTAAATATATATATATATATATATATATATATATATAAATATATTCAATTATAAAAGTGAGCCACATACCTATATACTGTCTGAACTTCAACATTGCAAAAATATTTCACATATGGCCTTGGAGGTTCAGGCTGCTCCTTTGATGGAATCTCTTGAGAATGTTGGATATGCGATGTAAATAATAGTGAAGGCCTTTAATGAAAAATTGGTAAAAACATACAATGATTATATGTAATAAATATTAACATTAACATATATATTTTGTTGATTTTTACTTGGTCAAGATTTATATATGTATAAACAATTTAATTCTTATCTTACGTTTGTTTAAATATGTTTTCTTAAGATATCTTTCTATTTTTATGCCAATAAAAAATCTGCGGTAGAATACATTTTGACAATTATTAATCGCAGCAAAATCGATAAAAATTAAACTAATATTATGCACATATTACCAAGTTTAGCACACATGATTTATAAGTATACCAAGATGAGAGATTTATAAGTATATCAAGTTGTTGCAAAAGTGTTTTAATGTGTATTGCAGGTTATTCAATATGAACAAATTTTCTAAAAATATTAGTTATTTTCTATGATGGTTTAAGTATTTACATATTATTGAAAAAGGAACACGCTCCTAGGTACATTTTAGAGTATTTTGAGTATTTTCCAAAAGTGTGCTCAACTAGTCCAAACTTTAATTAATTATCATAATTGAACCCTTGTCGTAAAACTCTAATATTTTAGTATGTTTATTAAGACCAGGAATCTCATGCAAGATTTCATTAAAATCTCCAAAAAATGTTGTTAATAATTAGAAAGAACAACCCGACTGATCATTGCCAAAGACTAATCAGCACGATTTCCAAACGATATCTTTCGAATTGTTTTTGAATTTTTAAAATCAGTTCAGACATTTTTTATGAAAATGTGGACACAACTTTGTTTTTTTTTCTGCAAATTCTAAAGAAATGGCTCGGTCGATCGTCTTTAAAAACTAATTTCATCCAAAGGATTTAAAATTTTCGATATTGGTTCAGCCGCTCGACAAGAGGATAAATTTTGACTCAAGACAAAATCTCTTTTTAATGAAACTTTGATAAATTGGTAAAATATAACGGCATCTTTAATGTACTTTAGGACCATGATCTCTATCGTCAAAAATGTTTCATAAAAATTGTCGAGAATAAAGTTTGCAAGAATTAATTGCAAAGAAACGGCCCAGTTTATCTTTACCAAAAGCTAAATCCGTACCTTTCAGCAGTTTTTGAATTTTTAAAATCAATTTAGAATTTTTGGCTGAAAAGACTTTTGCACTTCTTTAATTACAAAGAAACGGCTTGGATAATTGTCTTGCAAAACTGATAAGCGCGAGTTTTTAACGATTCACGATCGTATTGTTTTTAAGAAAGTCCATGCAACAATATTCAATTTCTAAAGTTTTAAATACAAAATATTTAAATTGTTTAATGTGTTAAATTTGGCATAAATTAAATATGATTATAGATATTAAATTAACAAATTGCATTATGTATTGATTGAATATGAATATTATTGGCGGGATGTTGTTTACAAAATCTTATATATTGTTACAGCCATTCAGTATTTATTTCTATTTATCAATTTTTCAGTATAAGTATGTTTTTAAATGCACCAGATGCATATTGTAATCATAAATCATTCAATATAGTTTCTGCAAGAAATTTTATATTTATCATAAGTGGGTACCATATTTAGTCGCTTATCATTGCTTTTTTCGTAAAATAGAATTGCGTGAGCAATAAATGTCAAAATAAATTTTAATAGTAAATTGGTTAATTATTAAGGCGCACCTTTCGAAAAATCGATATCGATGAGTTCCTCTAACATCTACAGGCCGTACACATATCTCTTCCTTCTCCATTTTTTTGCGAGCATGCCAAGAAGTATCTATTAGCTTTGGTGCTCTGCTATCCCGCATAACTGAAATATTTAATATTTACTTGTATATATATATATATATATATATATATATATATATATTTCTTATAACCAATCTGAACCTTGGGTTCAACGAGATTATTTGCTGACGGGTACAAGGGCTTTTAGAAATTCCCCCAGTGGGGAATTTCCTTACATAAATTTATTGATTGTTAATTTATTTAATCTTGCGGCCACTTTCTTTTTAATCTTCTCGTAGGTACTTGTTTTAGCACGTCTATTATTAGTGTTTGGATAGTATGCGCTCCTTTGATGATATTTCGTACTTCTCTCCTTGATAACTTCCTGTATATATTTGATGTTTAGGCCTCGATGAATTGTTTCGTTGGATACATACCAGGACGTGTTCACTATAGCTCGTAGTATTTTTGACTGTGCTCTTTGTTGTTTGAATTGTTTTTATATTGGACGTGCTCGCACATGCCCATAGCTCGATACCGTATGTCCATATTGGTACAATTACGGCTTTATATATTAGGATCTTGTTCTCATATGACATCTTGGATCTTCTTCCAATTAATCAGTAAAGTTCACGAAATTTTTTGTCTATTTGCTTGCGCTTTGTCCTGATGTGGGTACTCCATGTGGGCCCGCTGTCGAGGTGAAGTCCTAAGTATTTTACAGAGTTGCTTTTTAGAATTTCTACATTGGTCATTTTTATATTTGGGCAATCTTTTTTTCTTTTGGTAAAGGTGATGTGGACTGACTTAGTTGAGTTAATAGTAATTTTCCATTTGTGAGTCCACTCCTCTAGTTTGTGTACATAATTTTGCAGCTGTTCCGAGGCTTTTGTGGCGTCTTCATGTGTTGATAAAACCATGGTGTCATCTGCGAATGTTCCAAGGGTTATTTTGGTGGTCAGTTGGTATGTCGTTAGTGTAGATTAGGTACAGGATTGGTCCGAGTACACTACCCTGAGGTACACCAGCTTTTATTGATTTTGTATCAGATGATTCATTCTGCACTCTGACTCTAAAATATCTGTTTGATAAGTTACCTATGTATTTTAAATATAAAATTTGATGAAAACATTTAATAAATTAAAAACTATTGTTTTATAATAGATTCAAATTTAAAAGCTAAAAATTGATGTGGAAATTCATTCTTGATGTGAAAGTTCTTAAGTGTTTTCATATACAGTTTTCATAAGAATTTATTCATTAAAAATTTGTATGATATATATTCGTTTTTAAGCATACTTTTACTTTGCTGTTATTAACGTTGATTTAATTCTAATTCGCAATTCATCTTTTTTTTATTATTTTATTGGATAGCATCTCATGATTTGACTTAAATAACTACGTCGGTTTTATAAATTGTAATCGAAACAGTTGTCCTATTTGATAAATTTTCATTATTACAACTAGGTGTAGCCGTTCACGCTTAGGCGTGTTTTAAATTTTTCAATTAAAAATTCGAACAAAAATGCATATTGTTTATGTCTAGCCAACCAGTTTTCTTGTCTTCCAGTCTACGGTCTACCAGTCTACCAGTTTACCTGTCTACCTGTTTATTACTCAACCTGTTCGTAAGTCAACCAATTTACCGGTCCACTAGTTTATCTATCCACCAGTTTATTTGTTCACCAGTTTTCCTGTTAACCTGTTTATCAATCTACCAATATACTTGTCTACCATAATTTTTTTAATAGCCATAACAGCTAAAGCTTACATGCTAAAGCTTTTTATGGCAATAATATGAATTGTTATCCTCTCTGAAATTTATTTATATTGCTTATTTCACAATCATTTAGGCGTCAATATATTTTTTTTAATATATATTGAATGGCAATCAGAACAGTTACATTCTATAAGCGATTAGGCTTTAATTTTGATCCCCACTTAGGAGGATCAAATATGGCATGGTGAAAAATCTCCAGTGAGATACTGCTACTTTCCTAAATGAAGTTGCTTTTTCTTGAGCCTCCTTATACCAGGGTTTGCTAGAAGCGGAGAAACGGTTGGGTTCATGTGAGTTTGTAGTCTGATGCAAGGCACTTTTTTTTGGACTACTTTCTGTGCAATTTCAATCTTGAGGTCGTTGTGTATAATGCTTTAAACTGTTTTCTTCTGGATGGTGAAAATCCGTGTTTTGCTAGCACAGCCCCATAGCTCAACCCCATGTGTCCAGATAAGTTTTATGATAGTTTTGTAGATAAAAACTTTGTTTTCTAGCGACACCTTAAAATTGCGATCTATGAGTCAGTATAAAGATTTAATTCTGTTTTCTATTTGCCTTGCTTTCTTATCGATGTGGGGTATCCAACTTAATTTTCTGTCGAGATGCAAAGCGAGGTATTTGATGGTAGTAGCTTCGGGAATGTTTTTTTCATTATAACTGATTGAAAGGGCAGTTGCCCTTACTCAATGAAAACGTTATGTGTGACGATTCGTTTTCATTTATTTTGAGTCGCTATTTACTAGCCCAGTTTACTCTGCTATTTAATTGAGATGCTCCTGTACGTTTTGGCTGGCCGCTGCTGGAGTAATGTCTGATGCTATTATTATCGTGTCGTCTGCAAATGTACCTATAAGGGTGGTACTTGAAGTTGAAATGTCTTTCGTGTATAGTACATATAGCATCGGTCCTAACGAGCTTCCCTGAGCTACTCCTACTTCGAAGTTGCGAAAACTAGAGACTTCATTGCCTACTTTTAAAATCCTACCTATGGCAGGTAATTTCCTACCAGTGCATTTTTTTTATTCACGCCGGTTTAATAGATAGTGTTCAATGGATTTTATCAATACGGAGAAATAATGAATTAAAACAATACTCTAAAGTTTTTGCTTAAATTTAAAAACGCCAAGTGGGTGTAACCAATACAGGCTGTATGTCAATGAACAGTTTTCTTCTCCATTCTTAGCACCCAGACTCAGTAATGTTATTAGTAAATTACATTCGTTATTTCTTGAGATTATTATTTTATTTTAAGTGTTTCAATAATGTTGTTGGTAACTTAAAACTAAAGAAAAGTTGATTTCAGACTGATTTCTATATTGTTTTTAGTAGTAGGTACCAATTCGGCCATAGGCGGTACGACTAAGGCGACTACGTGCTTTAATGTACCGAAAGCACAAAAAAAAAAATTTTTAGTAATTGTCATAGCCATAAGGCAACTAAATAAACGCTAACAATTTTCTTTTGATTTAATTGCCGAAAATAATATATTATTACATCATTAGGGGCTATGACTTTGGCAACCATACCCTACACATTTAAAATTACTTATTTACCGTATTTATTCCTGGGGTACTGTGGGCATTCACTGAACATTGAACGAAATGATGGATGTATTCCCTTAAAAAGAAGTGATGTGTCATATAATAGAAATTTGATTTGCGGAAGAAAAATACGATCTCACTATTTCTCCTGATGTCATCAGAGCGGTCATCGCAGCCTTCATATGATCTCTCGGACCGGACACAGAAAATATTGGATCTGAAAATAATGGATAAAAAACAGATGTAGAAAATATAGTATAGACTATATATATTTTACAAAAAAAATGTTGGCATAATTTTGCTCTCATATGCAACTTCATTTCTCAAGGACTGATTGATAATACAATTTGTTTGCCTTTTGGATAAGTGAAATTGATTTTTTTTCTGGAAAACGTGGCAAATTTTAATATGCATAGATGCATAATACATAGTGCATAGTGCAGACAAATATACGGTTTAATATACATTATTTTATTCTGATTTTCATTTTTAATTTAATGGAATGTCTAACGAAATGCAAATGTATAACAAAATTAATGATATAAACATAATGCAAAGTTAAACCAATTTTTCTAAAATGTGAATTATGAAAAAATACGAAAGGTGAATCTATGTAATATTATTTTGAAACATTTAAAAAGAACTTGTTTAAGATGCATATATTATTTTAATAAAAAAAAACACCACAGATCTTCAAATAAGGTCAATTATGTCGAACAGTCTCATATGCTTAAGCTATATACTATGAATAATTATGATCATATAAATATTTTTCAAAATAAAAAAACAAATTTATAACGATGATATATAATCGAAATTAATGCTGTTCTTAAGGATTTTTCAAGATATCATGTTTCAGGCTCTCATTTTATAAATTATTATTTCAAAATACTGCTTGGTTTCAACATACCATATATATAATCTAGCCTCCTTTCTTTCCGAAAACTTTGAGGTCGTAATTGCAAACCCATTTTTTATAATAAAATGCTTTTAATATTAGGTTTAATATATTTATTCTATATATAAATTACAAGCCCAAGACAAATAACTTATATAACACTATTATTATATCGTTGGCATTAAAATTGTTTACGAAAAAAGTAGATTGATTTTTTTTAGAAAATGGCTTCTGTAAATTGAAGTAAATAAAAAAATATAACATTTTAGATGAAATTAATACAAAATGAAAACTGTTGATTTCCATGACAGCTAGGTAAAATCGAAGCAAGCAATGGACTCATGCGCGAACATACTATCAAAAATAAATATTTGAATAATTAGTATAAAAAGTGCTTTAAAATGCGTTTTATTGTTTAATTCAGACAATATGTATTATTTTATTTTGAACTATTTGAATTATTGTCATGTTAACGTTTGCAGTTGTTCCTGAGGCGCTAAGATTTTTGCACAAAAATATAAATGCTAGGATGAATACTGAAGTGAGAATAAAAATTAGTAAAATAGTTTCAGTAAATGTAGTATTTCAACTGGTAATTGTAGTTACAATACTGTGTGTATAGTGTAACTTATTTATTTTCAATGATATATTAAATTGAGTTAACTCAGAATATATGTGTACAGGTCTTCATAAATAATTTAAACAATTCATTATTTTTGAATCGCAAAAAAGTCGAAAATGATTTGTTTTGCATATCTTTACGTTTCAGTCTTTTAAACATTTTGGCACAAATTAGAAAAAATAGATGTATGTATGTGTGTGTGTCTGGGAATTCAGTTTTTGCGAGAATGGGACAATTAGATTGATTAAAAAAACATTCGATTCGTGTCGATGGGTTGCTCCAGGCGTTTCGAAGATATTTATTTATTTTACAAGCCATCAGTATAATAGTATTATAATAAGGCTCATGTCAATATTTTATATAATTTAATTAATTAACAATTTATAAGTATAGATACTATTACAATATAATGATTTTCTTTAACAATTTTTTCGTTTTTTAATATGACTATTTAGTTTAACAAATTAATGAATATTAAATATAAAATATAGTTCGCTGTTGTGACGAGCATAGTAGGCATTGCTGGTAGGTGACAATGGTTAGGTTGGGTCCGTAGATTCGTAGGGGTTTCTATCATCGTCGATCCATCGATCCAGCTGCTGTCTGTAGTTGAGAAATTTTTTCGATTTACGTCGGTTAGACTCGTCAACCAATTTACTCGTCAACCAATTTACCTCTGTTCATCCGTTTCACATGTATACCAATTTACTTGTCAACCTGTTTTTTTGTCTTGTTATTTGCGTGTATTTACCAACTGTGCAGTCTACTATTTTACATATCTTTCGATTTACCTGACCACCAGCTGTCCAACAATTTACCTGTTCACCAATTTACCTGTCAACCAATTTGCCTATTGTTTATCAATACACCATTTTACCAGTCAACAAATATACCTGTTTACCAATTTACCTGTCATCTTGTTCTATATGTCTACCAAATAACCTGTTTAACAATTTATCTGTTTAACAATTTACCGGTTTAACAATTTGTCTACCAATTTACCTATCAACCTGTTCATCTGTCTACTATCTATCTACCTGTCAGTTTATCTGTCCACCAGTTTATCTGTCCACCAATATACCAAACAACCTGTTTGTCAGTTTACCAATTTAGCTGTCCAACACTTTACCTGTTTACAAATTTACCTGTCTACCAAATTACCTATTAATCTGTTTATCCGTACACCATTTTACCTGTCAACCAATCTGTCTACATAATCGTCTATCTTCCAATTTACCTGTCCGCCAGTTTACCTATCTACTAATATACCTGTCTACCTGCTCATCTGTCTACTTATCTGTCTATCTACCTATTTACGTGTTTACCTGTTTACCTGTCCACCAAATACCTGTTCAACAATTTATCTGTCTACCAATTTACCTGCCTACCAATTTACTATTGGTACTTACCTATTTATCAATCCACCATTTGCCTGTCTACCAATTTTGCAATTAACCTGCTAACTTGTTAATCTGTTTATATATTCGCCATTTCATAAATTCTTTAATTTACCTTATTCATTTACGCATTATAAAAAAATTAAAACATTAAAATTGACCGAACAAAATTAAAAGAAATGATAAAATGTCTTCAGGACGGCTAACCCCTATCACTTCGATGAAATCAAAATATCCAAAATCCTGACTGGGATTTACCTAACAATTGTCCAAATTTTTGCGGGGATCCGAGGTATGATATATGAAAAATGATATAATCATAGATAAAAGAAGAGTATGGATATAATTATCTATTAAATATTTATTACAAAATAGGGATTTGTGGTAGGAGGTTGCAAATTTATGGTTGAATGTGTTTTTTTAACTTCCCGAAGGAGAAGCTTATGCTTTCATAAAAAAATCCGATTTGCTAGTTTTATGTTTTCTCGACGTTTCAAGCCATTCTGAATCGAATGAGACCAAATTTGAAAAAAGTATGTGTGTGGTGTGAACAGATTTTTTTGTAAATCGACGTTTTCTCAAAAACGGCTAGACTGATTTCAAAAATTTGAAAGCCATTCGATATATCGCGATGAGGACTAGCGTTTATCAATTTTGCGCGGGGTAATTTTGAATATGACAACGTATCACCAAGGAGGAGGGGGATTCAAAAATCCTTAAAAAATCGATTGCGTGATTATTGAACGCCTCCTTATATACTTAAACAACATATTTTAATACGTAATATATTCTTAATACAATATTTTCATTTATATTCTTAGTATTCGACTCAGAGTATGACTTCGAAACGAGTAGTAACGCCGGCCCTGGTAATAATTTGCGTAACGGCTAACGGGTTAACGCGCCACGGGGGGGAAGCGGCTTGTTGACATAACGCCTGTCGCTAATCACCTGTGTGCGGTGCGATGTGCGATTTGCCATTAATGGACTTCAATTTCAAACTGACATTTGTGAAAAATGGAGTCACCATGGGAAGAATTTTATGCGTCTCATCTACCACCGACTGATTTCGAAGATAACAGATCGTTGCTGAAGGAATTTTGCGAAAGACACAATAAACTAAGACAGAATATCGTTCTAATTACCGTAAGTTGTACTTTCTTGCTTCAAATATTAGCTAATTCAATTACCCAATTTGAGGTTATGTTTCTTTTCTATTTCAGAGCGGTGGTACGACGGTGCCTCTAGAACATAACACAGTCAGATTTGTAGATAATTTTAGCGCAGGGACCAGAGGCTCAGCCTCAGCAGAATACTTTTTAGATCATAACTATGCTGTGATATTTATGTATCGAGTGAAATCCTTGGAACCATTTATTAGACATTTTACGGGACAAAAGTTTATGGATATGCTTGATTTACAAGATAATGGTGATAGTACTAAAATATCAGGTACTGTGTTGCAAAGTTATCTTTAATGGATTAGTATTGAAATCATGATAACATTTTAATAGGCTCATATGACTTCACTAGAAACTAGTTTGATCCGACTGTTTAATAATGTGCATGAATGTATGAAGAAAAGCATGTATCGAAAGAAGCTATGTTGAGTAAATGCAGTGACATTTTATATTGTTTATGTATAGATGACTATAATTTAATTAAATTTTAAAATTTATCTTTAACGGATTAGTATTGAAATCATGACAATATTTTAATAGGCTTATATGACATCAGTAGAGACTAGATTGATCGGGCTGTTCATTAATGTGGATGAATGTATGAAGAAAAGCATGTATGGAAAGAAGTTATGTTGAGTATTGTTGATGTGTGGATGTCTATAATTTAAATGAATTTTATTTCAACTCCTTCAGCACTGATTCAAAAACAATCTACGAGCAACTTGGTGCCAAATTTCAATGAAATCATATCTGCTGTAAACTTGATATTATTGTGTATTATATGCAATTTGTTTGATATGAATTTGTGGATAATGAAGAGCATACATTTACAATAATATCTATACTTATATTTTGTAATATGTTTGTTAAAGTTTAAAGCAATTTTCAAAAGGTATAGCAGATTGATTCCTGTATCGTTATAATTATGTACTTACAATTAGCATCATGACAGTTTTTTTTATCATACGACAGAAAAGTTTAATACATAGTTTTTTATATGTTTGTCAGACAGACATCTGCCTCTTTCAATGAAAATTTTGCTTTACGATTTGCTTGACCGTCTTACCATATGTTGAAAAAAAGATTATATAACAGAAAGGAGTAAAAAATACTTTGAAAATAACTAATAGTAAATTTTGAAAAGAGAACACTGCCTTATTACTGCATAGTTTTTTTTTATCTTTTTTGTTTTTTTTTTTAAATATTTGTTAGAACTGTTAAATAATATAACATCTAGTAACATTAATAAACAATAACATAAATATAAATAAAATAGAGTACAAAATAAAGGATAGTATTTACATTAAATTGATATCCGTATTATGATGATTTAATATAACATAAAAGCGAATAATAAAATAATAACATTAATAAGTGAAATAAATAAAATTTCTGAATAATAAAAATAATACTAGAAAAACAATAAAGTGGAATAAAAACAATAAGTGACAGATAATAATAAATATAATTTATTTATTTAATAATAATTTTTAAAATTTTATTGCGGACCACACTTTTTAATAATTTTAAATATGTACTTGATATATTCAACTAATAAACTTTATAATATAAAAATATTAAATTAAACAAAGTAATTAATTCAAAAATTAATGCCATAGATTAAGTTGATAAAATAATTCTACTTTATAAACGCTTGGCAAGCTACAGAATAATATTTAAAGGGCATGAAGACTGCTGGCCACTGTAGATTATTTAGTTGTGCAAAACATATTTTCATATTTCATTTACATTAGTCAAAAAGCTTAGAACTTATAGATCTATAAACAATATAAAATTGATACGAAAGTATACCAATTTGTAGCAAGGTATTGGAGGAAATACGGACGAAATCACATGGTGTTTTGGTTTTTGTCTATATTTATTTAATGATGTTATAACCAATATCAATCGTTTTTAGTCATCTTTGGTTCATCGACTACCAGTAACAGAGTATTTCAATTAAGTAGGAACTATAATATCATATATATTAAAAATAATGCAACCAATTGCAAAGACCATTAAAAAAGACCAAAAACTCATTAAAGATTATATTTGCATGATTATAATAAATAGTATTATTAAAAATACCGAAAATACCGGTATTTTAATGCTAAATACCGGTATTAGTACCGCCGAAATATTGACCGGTATACCGGTATTGCATTTTCTAAAGGAAAGGAAAAGAGGTTTTTGCACTAAAAGCAACTCTCTTATTTGAATCAATAGATCTTTTGGTCTCTGTAGAAGTAGTTAGAGTAGAAGTTTAAAGCCAATCACCTTTTATAGGTTTCAATTTTCTTTTTTCTTGGCCTCCAAAAAACTACTCTCAAGAGCTTGAGAAAGTGAACAAAACTGAATAAATAATAAGAATTCCACCAAACACCTGATAATTGCAATAATGTAATTAAGTGTACATATTTAAGTTCTTTGATTTGAATATAAATAATTACAAATATCAATAAATACCTCTTCAAAAACATGAGAAAAAGACCTTGAAAGTAAACTTTTCAAGACGCGAACAATACGTTTGAACTGATTAAGGGGGTATTCTACTGTAGAATTTTGAAAAAATCGAAAACATTTTTTTTTCATATTTTCAAAGGTTAGTTATTCAAAAATATGTCATTAAAAGGATTTTTCAAAATTACTATTATTTCCTGAGTTATATCCGTTTTAGTGACGTGGCCTCGGTTCGAGTCCGACCGAGTCTCAAAACTTTGAAAGTGTTTTTCTCGGAACTACTTTTTTCGAGCTGGCGGTAAGGATATCTCGAGTTCTAATGAACCGATTTACTTCAAATTTGGAGAGGATCTTCTCCATACATCGCTTTATCGCATGGGCCGTTCTCAAAACTATAACCTTTCATTTAGTATTTTTAAAAAATTCGGAATTTAAAAAAAAAAAAAACATGAAAAAAATTTTTTTTTTCAAACTGCCGCCATTCAAACGAAAAAAAATTTAGCTTATCCAAGGTTCATACGATAGCGGCATCTATAATAATTAAGAATCCATCTATTTTTTATGTTTCGGATCACCAGGAGGGTGAATTCGCTTTATCGCATGGGCCGTTCTCAAAACTATAACCTTTCATTTAGTATTTTTAAAAAATTCGGAATTTAAAAAAAAAAAAAAACATGAAAAAAATTTTTTTTTTCAAACTGCCGCCATTCAAACGAAAAAAAATTTAGCTTATCAAGGTTCATACGATAGCGGCATCTATAATAATTAAGAATCCATCTATTTTTTATGTTTTGGATCACCAGGAGGGTTGGAATCATGCACGCCAGGACTCCCTCTTTTTTTTTGAGCCCCCACTTTGACTGCTCATAACTTTGTGAATTCTAATTTTTTTCTTTAATAATTTTTTTTATGTAATAATAAAATATCAATAAACAAATGATAAAAAAATCGATAGCAAAAATATTATTTGTTTCCTTTATACAGCGCTTCAAAAACCGGGCAAAATTCATGCTTCTACAGTAGAATACCGCCTTAATGCAACAAGACTATGACAATGACTCTTAACATCTGACAAGTTTGTTATTATGGCTTTCTTTATGCTATACAGTCACTGAAACGTTTCTAAAACAATGCAGTCTTTTGCTAGACATATACCATTTTGTCCGTATTTTCCCTATAATGATAAAATACGTTATAGATTATTTATTTTTGAATACATTTTCCAGATATTCCATTTATGGTTTATGAACAGTTTTATCGTTTATAAGATTTTATAGAAGCTTAAATAATCAATTTGTCACTAAAGACTATAGCGAGCTTATACGAGTTAATCTAGAAAACAGTTAAGACCAAAAGTAGGAAAATAATTATCATTGCTCACTGCTCTTAATTTCATCACATTTGTTTATTATTGAAACAAAACGGTTTACTAATCTGCGAATCAAAATTAATGCTTACAGGTGAATGTTTATCTACAGCAAATAGCATTTGAATAGTATATATTGCTTCATTTCTAGTTACTTTATCTCAGATGAAAATTTATCATTGCACCTACATGGTACGGCTTTTCGAAATCAGTTATAAATTAAATATAGTTTACTAGAATCAACAAAACAAATTCCGTTTTTAGTCAAACCCGACAGTGTGGATGTGCTGGCACCAGTTTTGGCAAGATATCGATTAGCTCATGATGCAGGCCGTTTATTGTATGTAAGCTTCACCACTGTATCTGACTATTTATGGCTGCTACGAGCTGCTTGTGAATGTTTAGCCCCTTGTGGTAATCGAGCTGTTTTGTATTTAGCAGCAGCAGTGTCTGATTTTTATATACCATCTGATAAAATGGTGCGATTACTTAACAGTATAATCAATAATAAAAATAGTAGCTTCAATAAGCATTTGAATTTATTTATTTTCAGCCTACACATAAAATACAATCGGGTGGAGGTGCTCCTACAATATCATTGCAACTAGTGCCTAAGATGCTGGAGCCACTTGTATCTTTGTGGGTTCCACATGCTTTTGTTGTCTCATTTAAATTGGAAACTGATGAGAGTCTATTGATATCCAAGTCAAGAGAGTCACTGAGGAAATATAAGCATAAAGTTTGTAGATTTTTTATTTAAATTTTTGAAAGAGCTATTGAAAATTCTGTGAAAGTAATTTAAGAAATACTTTACATTCTTTTATCGTAGATAAAAGACATGCAATAATTTAATGTAAAATAACCTCAAGAATAGGAGAAATGCCATAACAATGCTTGTTTCTTATAAGAAAGTCCATTAGCTCTAATTTATATATATATATATATATATATATATATATATATTCTAAGCGTATTATTTATATATATTTTTTTCTATTATAGTTGGTAATTGCAAATATTTTACAAACAAGGAAACATCGAGTTGTGTTTGTTACCAAAGACTCTAACTATGAGGTAAGTTCAACTATTTTAAATGAATTTTAATTCACTTAATTTTTTAATTGTTTATTTATATAATTGCTATCAATTGATTATGTTTATATATATAGACTTTAGAAATGCATTTAACATATTTAATTTGTATTAATCTACTAATTATCAAACTGTTAGCCACGGTACTATTTATAGTACAGCTAATTTAATAATGCATTGCTAACTTATCTATATATATATATATATATATATATATATATATATATATGTGTGTGTGTGTATGGTTGTATGCTGTGTGTTTCCATATCCTATGCATTTTCATAAACCATACATTCCATCGTCGGAAACTTCTAGGTATATTTCCAAATCAAGTGGCAGGGGCAGGCCACCCCAAAGAATTTTTTGGGTCATTGTTTTTAAATTTATTCTTATAATGCGTATATAAAAAACGCACAAATCTAAATTTTCATGCTCTTACGACCACCTTTACTTGGTAAGAATTATTATAGTGATTACATCATTTTTGTCGATGAACGTTTTTGAGTGAATTTTAAATGAGATCTTTTGAGCTTATGAAAAAGCTCAATTTATTGTAAAAAAAATAATTTCATTAATGATTGTACAACTTAATTGTTCAACAAAATTATCCAATACATTAAAAAATAAGTATAGGTTTTTTAATGTATTGGGTAATATTTCAAAATTTATATTTATATAAGATCTTTGTTCATTATGTTTAACAATATATATTTAGTTCATTATTATTGATTTTGTTGTTTAACCTAATAATTAAGCTGCATCATGTTGATTAAATAGTGTAACTTAGAATGGTTTTCCCTTTTTACCCCGCAAAGAGATGAATTTAAAAAAAAAAAAAAAACATATTTCTGAAATTGTTACATAGTTGGGAATTTAACTAAACATATTATGTTTGTTAAACTGAACAATATATGTTTGTTTGATATGAGTTATTTGTTGTGATGTAGTGTGGTTTCACAGTATTATTAAAAGTCAAATTGGACCTTTTTTGCAAATTACTTTTTTCAATATTTTGGATCAGAAGAAATGATACATAAAAATTATTTTGCCAACTAATTTAATGTAGAGCACAAAATTATTTTGCTTGATGCTTCTAATACGGCTCAACCAGCTACTCATATTTACTATTTTCCACCGTAACAACTAACTGTAACAAAATGGCATCTTTAAGATTGTTAATTATATCTATAATACAGCAATGTGTGATCGGATGCAGCTAGTTTATTAAATAACTTAGTTATTATACCATTCATCTTATATAAAAAGATAGTTCAAGACAATAAATACATACATTATATTCTTTATCACAATGTTCAATGTTTTAAATATTATTGAATAATGTAATTAAATTTATGTTTATATAACTTGCAAAAATCTTCATAATTTTCAGTATGATTGAACTATAAAACAATCTTGTTTCAAATTAAATAATCCACTATGTTTTCTGGCAAATACAGTTCACTTGTTAATTAAATATATTAAAGCTAAACTTGACACTATGTCAATATTAATATTAATAATTGCGGGAATACTTCATATTTTATGATATTTTTATCGAAAATATACCAAAATATACCAAAGAATGCTGTGAAACGTTGTTGACCATAAGTGTTAGACAAAAATCAATTCATTTAAATTTCATCTGCTTTCAATTGCATTTTATATTAGCACACCTTTGATTGAATTTTTGCGCATAATTTTCATATTAATCATGCACCTCATTCCATGCTTTTATTCACCATCATGTGGATTCCGTACTCACAACGATTGCCGATTCAATTTTGCTAAAAAATAAATTATTTATAATTTATTTTTCAGGTTTTACTCACTCGAGAACAAATTTTGTCGGGTTTGGAAATTGAAAATGTAATTGTTGCTGATGTTGTTCAGCAACACTACAATTTTATATTATAGATAATAGGAACTTTTTATTGTATTGAAATTTTAGAATAATTGTAAAATATAGAAGAATATTTATACTTACATAATGATCACAGCTGTATTGTACAGCAAATATTTTATATAATTTCATCAAAAGCAGACACATTACAGAACAAGTGATTAAAATTTGATATTAGTATAAATGAGTTTTTTTATGTAGATTACATATTTTTTAGCTTAACATTAAAGCTGTTTCGCATTTGGATATTTGTAGACTGAGGCGGTCCCTGACCTGATGTGTGGTAATTTACATATTTTAGTACTACATTTCTACAACACTTGCTTAGTAGAGCTCAGTAGAGGATTTGTACTTTCTTTCAACTGAATTTTAGAAATCGTAATTTCTGATAATAATGTTAATTTGGATCCGAATTGCGACTTGTGTTACGTTTTTTTTCTGCGAATTAGTGTTTTCTGTTTTTATTTTGTTATTTAGCAGCAATCAGAACTTTGAGCTTTGTGAGCTGCTGTGATGAAATACTTACCTACGACAGTTTTTATAGATGGTAGCCTAAGCAGTTGTTCCGTCCTTTTGTGATGAATTTTTATTTTTACGATTTCTGTAATACTGATGAATTGCAATGTCTGCTATTTTCACTGGGAAACATTGCTTCCTATATTTTCAAGTAAAAACAGATGTCACAATTGCGCGACATCAGGCTGATCGAAGTGGGATGATACTTGGGAGCTCTTTTTAAAATCCTAACGCTCTAACCACTTACCTTCAGGTGAAACTGACTTTTATATTTAAGCAGGGTAATATTATAATTGCTATATGATTTAGAAAAAAACGTTTTGTGATTTACTGGACAGCTTGGCGTTGGTCCTTTATGTCATTGTAGTTGAACTCTAAAAACTTTTTAGCTCAAGATGAAGCAAAGTTTGTTGGCTTTCATAGTAAATTAGTTTCGTTTTCTAAAGAACTTCTTATCCTGCTGTAAATTATAGGCAGTCTCTGTATAAACAGAAATAATTAAATCCAGAGTCCGCAGTACAGGATCTGTGTCCTGATATTCATTTGAGGTGAAGTTATTTTTCATTATTTTAGTTTCATTTAAATAGTATACTGGATTTGTCGTTTCTCAAGGAATTCATTGCATAGATAGATTTTGAATCTCTGAATCCTGGATACAGAATATGTGTCCTGATATTCATTTGAGGAGAACTCTGTTTGAATAGTGTATTTCGTAAATATGCTCATACTTTGTGAAAACCCTCTTTATTATTGGATTGTTCGGAAAGTAACTTCGTTTTTTATAGACATTTTGAAACGAAATTTTTGTACAATAAACACAAATACTTTATTGAATTATGTATTGGCTGTTTTGACCGAACATCTTCTGTAATTTTTCTGGTATTAGCATAATTTCGAGATCATAATTTTTTTGGTCGTTATTGGCAAAAAAACTGATCAAGATGCTTTTTGACCTTCTCATTTTAGGTAAAGATTATACCGCCTAAAATTTTTGTAGTGACAGGAATTATTAATGGCTCGATGATGGCAGGTATGGAGAATATGATGAATGTGGAATTGGGTTCCATTCAATCTGTAGAAGCTTTTGGCGAATGACCAAACTTCTGTGAGGTCTTTCGTCGTCTTGATGCAATATTATACCTCGCTTGTGGGTAGTTCTAACCTTTTCTATTGAAGTACATCATTTAGTTTATCCAGCTGATGACATAAGGCATCTATTATGTTATCCTGGAAATCTGAAAAAGTAACAACTTTTTTAAAAGCTCACCAAACATACTGCATCACTTTTTTCTGACGATTTTCAGCTTTGCAATTGTTTTGAGTAGGTTCTTTTTTGTTTCATGGGCAATTGTATGTATTGTATTCTTTACATCCCATTTGACATTCCTAGTAACAATTCGCTTCAAGACTTGATAATTTTTAGGGCTTTTCAGAGGCGAATGGCGGACGCCAGTACGACGACACGGGTTTTTTTCAATTAGAATCATACATTGAGCTCCGAGAAAAATCTGAATCTTTTAAATGGTCATGGACTGTTAAATTTAATAAATTTAAATTCAATGGGATCTCATGTATTGTTTTTCACCGGTTTGCACCAATCAATATCTTTCTTGCATCTTTATCAGCTTCAACCGCGCTTCTTGGACGTGGTGCATCTTGGACATCAAAATACCAGGAATGAATTTTAGCAAGCCAGTTTTGGAACCGTCGTACTATCAACATGTCATTTCCATACACATCGGTCAATTTTATTTTGACCTAAACAGTATTTTTACCTTTTCTATAGCAAAAGAGTAAAATATGTCGAAATTGCTGCTTAATTCTTTCCGTATTCAAAGTGACACGCTCCAAAAACTACTGCGTGTAATTGATCAGAACTTTTCACACACAAATCTTAAAATACGAGCTTTCAAATCATATAATAATTATACGGCTTAAGTGTAATGTTAGGTTTAAAAAAATGTAGTTAAATCGTCTGTGGTAAAAAAGCGAAGTGACTTTCCGAACAACCTTATAGATTCTATTAGTAGTCCTCCACTTTTTAGTAAGTACCTACTTAAACAGCGTGCATTTTAGTATGGATATTAAAATGTTTCGTCCACCTTTTGTGCTATCCTTAGTTGTTGAAACCAGAGGCTTTTCCAACCCATTTTATATTGACCTGCTTTTAAACTCTTTGGGACGCCAACATTGATTTTTTTTTAACTTTAACTTGGCTGAAAATACAAACGTCACCTGACGTAACTAAAACATCGTTTTATTTTTACGCAAACAAAAATTAGATGTACGTTAAAGGTGATGCATTTGTAGCAAAAATGGTATTCCTAGTATAAAGTTGTATTATACGAATTCAAGGAAAGATAAAAAATATTTAAAACAAATGACAATTTTTTTTTGACAATGTCTAATTGCTTTATTCTTTGGCCTAAGCCCTATATATTCTCTATTTTGTGTATTATTTTTGCATTCCAGCAATGTCTATCATTAAATGAAAATATGAAATGGAAACCTATCCCTGGTAATTGTTATATAAATGTAATTTACAATATTTTTGATTGACAATTAATGCATACAACTGACATGCAGGAATCTTCCAAAGTAGACAATCCCCTAGAAATTTGCGCAGTTGATATATCCGTTATAGAGAATTTAACCCTCGATGATAAGATAGTTTCCGATGACGCAAAATTGCAGGATGTGACACAGGCTACTACGCCAGTATTAAATAAGACGGTTGACCTTTTGGAGAAGGTAAAATATAGAAAACCTAAAAGGAAATGTGCTAAATTAAAAAATGTGGAGGCGGACGCCGTAAATAAAAGTCAACAGCAAACTATCACGAAGGCTACTATAGAAAACAGCATTAAGTCAACAGATTAGTACGATAAATCAACGTTTGGAAAAATGCAAATTGGAACCGATCACGATTGATCCTGGACCAAACGCTAAGACAATCTCAATCACACACGAAGAAACATCTAGCCCCAGAGTAATTAAATTGAATCAAACATTCAAATTTCCAAGTGATTACGATGTACCTTTTGAGGAAAAACATTCACCCACCAAAGAATCATTTACACAAACAAGTAAAACCTTCGTGACGAGACCTTTAGAGCAATTGAGTATTCCGCCTGTGATTCCAGAGAAGTTAGATGTTTCGGACAATTATTTGCTATCACCAGTCAGTGAGCAAAATTCACTTGATTTCTTTCTGGCCAGCATAAGGCGGAAGAACACGTGTTTCCGTCGTATGTGCCGTTTTCTACACAAGTGAATAATGCTGCTGGTGAAAGTTTTCATTCGAAGAACTTGGATATTTATGGTAAAGCGTTATTTACTTGTCAAATTAATTGATTTCTAATGGTCTGATTGTTTTACTGGTTCAAAGTGACGGCCTTAAGGGGTTACACCACTGTAGAAGTAAAAAAAAAACGTATATTTCTGTTATTTTTTTCGGCCGGAAGGAAAAGTATTAAAATCATGATATTAAAGATAGTTATTTATTGAACTTTAAAGTAACAAAATAAAATATAATTGTAAAAAAAAAAATAAAAATGGCGGTACCACAGCCATTTCGGCGAGTCGCGTCAAATCCGCGGCACGAAAAATAACTACAACAATTTGAACTTTTTTTATTCGAATTTTAATAAAATATTTTAAAAACATTTCAAAGTGCCCATCATAGCGGATTTGAAAAATATCGATTTTTGTTTGTTTGGCGAGCACTTTATTCAATCGTCGAATTTCAACGAAAAAAATGGCTAGTAATTTGTTAATAATTGATGAACAAATTAACATATAGAAGATCTTCTATGATGGGCACTTAAAAATGTAATTTTAAATATACTGTAAAATGTGAAAAGTGAAAAAAGTGAAAAAGTATAAATGTGAAAAGAGTGAAAAAAAATCAAATTGTTGTAGTTTTTGCGTGCCGCGGATTTTGACGCGGCTCGCCGAAATGGATGTGGTACCGCCATTTTTAATTTTTTTTTTTACAATTATATTTTATTTTCTTACTTCAAAGTACAATAAATAACTATCTCTAATGTCATGATTTTAATACTTTTCCTTGCGTCCGAAAAAAAATGGCAAAAACATACGTTTTTTTACTGCTACAGTGGTGTAACCCCTTAAGAATTCGAACAAAAAATACTACAAAAGATGATGTATCATAATTAATACATCATCATTTTTAAAGCAATATTTCAGTGAAATCTTTTCGAGAATAATCACTTTTCAATCACAATTTGAGAAAATATATAATATAAACAATTCCCGAGTAATTTTAATTTTTGTGGTAAAAAATACAATACAATTTAATTATGATTTCAATTAAATTCAGTTTTTGATACATAATAATTTTATTTCTGTACTGAGATTTGTCTAAAACTAAAGAGCATCGTATAAAGAATGAAAAATGGTAAAACTTTTAGGCAAAAAAAATTGGCTGCATAAAAACATGGTCACTTCTAAATATGTCAAATCTTGCCAAATTTATGAATTTGCGAAAGCAATTTTGAGCAAATTATATAATGGAAATAGTTATAGAAACATACAATTGCTTTCATTTAGGTTCTGAAGAAAACTATCAAATAACTTATGCCAGAAATCTTATTCCGTT